AGCTATCAGCTTAGGGCATTGAAGCTAGCAGTTCTGTCTGAAATAAATGAGTAGAAGTGCCTGCTTCGGAGTAGACGCAAGGAACCAAGTTAGATAAGTGGATGCTAAGAATGCTCCCCAAGTGAGCAATAAGTTTCTAGTCCACTTCACATATTAAGATGACAGCCCTCATATTCTGCTGTTTTGTTTTGTGTTGTTTTTTTTTTTTTTTTTTTTTTTGTTTGTTTTTTTTTTTTTAACGGCATGAGGGTCATGCCTTAGCTGCAAAAGAACGGAAAGATACACTTATATTTTTTAAAAGTGGTAATCATAGAAAAGACATTTTATGCTATCACAAACAAGTAGCACTGAATAAACTATTACAGAAGCACTAGGGACCAGTACAAAGGGTGTTGGAGAATGGCTCAGAGACAAGGGTCATGAGCCCACCGAGCAGTTGTACGATCGGAGCCTGTTCTAGGGGCTGATGCTGGGCCCCACTAGGGTTTGCCTGCAGCTGCTCGCAGCTGCTGATACATGAAGAATGTCAAGGATGCTTCGGCCTTGTGTACCGTGGTGTATCAAAAACAAGTTAAGAGGAATTAGAAATAGTGGCATGAGAAACTTAGTGTGATGAGAAGCTTGTGCTGTTAGCTAACTGCAAGTAGGTGGACTGTGCGAATACGACCTTTAGAGCTTAAGCCAATCAGCTAGTGACTAGTAGGCATAATAATTATCATTGTCTGTATAAATATATGTACCCTGGACCAATAAAGGAATACGATATATGATGCTCTATCACCCACATTGAGTCCGTCTCGGCGTGTAGTTCCTCCGCAGCTCCGCAAAAGGGTACTACTCTATTTGGACTTATAAACTCGGATTGGTACCACTCAAATATCTCTGCCTGCTACGTTCAACTATATTACCTTTCTCACTTTCCTCCATTACACTGTACATTCTTTTAGTTTTATTTCCAGTGTTTATTACTTTTATTTATTGATGAGTGCAAGGCACCTGTCACGTATTATGACCACCTATATAATTTTATATAGGACACAAAATCAGGCAAAATAAAGGCCATGTTAAAGTTTCAAGTCCAATTGCTAACGCTGCCTCAAGAAAATGAATATACCTGCACCAGTAGTCAATGGTTGCAAAACCAGGCAGACACTCCCATTTTATACTGGTGTAACCACAGATACACAATCTTAAATTAAGCAGGCAGTATCCCAGAACTCCACATGGGAGGAAAATACTGCCCAAAGTCATCTATTTTGGAAAAAACAAAGTAGGCAGTATAAACATACAAAGTATAAAGCAGAGTAGGTCTGTTAAACTGTTCAATTACTAAAAGTGCATCAGCTGACAACAGTGACTCTCCTCAGAAAAGATTTAGAATTACTTACAATAGCCCAAGGTATTTTAGAGTAACCAGACACTATTTGCTACAGATATTATTTGCTTATATGAATTTTAAACTAATTTTTATTATTCCAGTATCAATTGTTTATGATTACTTGTTATTGTGGTAGTAGAAATATTATACCATGAGGACTATTTAATTACCTCTGCCATAGAAAGTACAATCTGTATATCAAAAATAATGTAACCCCTCCCAATATGGTATTACAATCTTCTAGGGTTTCTAACACAGCAATACATTCAGAAAGCAGGCTTTCTCTATCAGGCTTTCAAAGTCAATTATCCATTACTGTAAGTTTATATTGTCATAGCAAAAAACCTGAAACCCACCCTTCCATCCAAAAAGCTTCAGTATTGCAAATTTGAACATGCCTGGAAGCTTGATACTTAGCTTTTGCTCTTGAAGCAAAACAAATTGCAATACAGACTGTTCACTGCATATGTTCAACCAGTCATCTGGGATCAGGGCTTCCTAACGTATGGTTTTTAGATGCATATATGCTTCTAGTGAATTCAGCTCTAAAAATTCAGTGTATTACTCTAGTAGTAAAAATTACTCAACAACTGCCTATCAGATTATTCTAATTCCCATGTTACAAGGTCAATAAGGTCTTGCTCTTTCTCAGTCATTTGTTCTATACCACTATCAGTCTTTGAGATCCAAATGTAGTTGCATTTGTTAACTAGTAATATGATACAACGGTGTGTTTTTTGGAAAAATAAAACACAAAAAGTATACAGTTTAAAAATACTGAATAAGAAAAATACAGAAATACAGATAAAGAAGAGTGTGAGAAAAACTCAACAATTTCAGTAAGTAAAGGAACACTTAGGAAGAAGGGAGAACAAAAAGAAAGAGGCAGTTATACAACTCAGAATCAGCAAATCCACCTAAGTGGAGGAGGTCATGAAGATGTAGAGAAAAAAATCCTCCATATCCCACAGCATGGAAGGGAGGAAAAGACATGTTTATATTTCAGAACAATAAGCACTCAATGAACTCATCACAAGAACTTAGGACACCCATTAATTTGTACTGTTTTCTAGTAAAAATATAGGACAATTTTTGGTTTTGTTTTTTATTTTCATTCTTTTAGGACTTCATGGTCACCTGAAAAGCACATTCTTGAAACACAGCCATAAATCCTACACAAAAACATCTTCAATTTCCTCTTTAAATTCATGGCTGTAGCATGCATACTCAAGTTATAACAGACTGATAAAGATAACCAGCAACCACAACCTGCCTCTGACTAGAAGAGCCAATGAAGAAAGTCAGTTCAGTACCATTTGATCAATATATGCAAAATCTACAGGCAAGAAAATCTTAGGAATTTTTTTTTCAAAAACACTTTTAGTAAACTCAACTGTTTTCAGTTGCTTAACATGTTCTTCCTAGTAGCTCCTAGCAAAACCAAGCAACACATATCAAACAGGCTGACTAAGATGAGGGTTGCCAGAGTTTTGATCTTGCACTACCACCTACTAAATGGAAACTAAGTAGAGACCACACAACAAGGTTCAGGTCAGAGGCAACACTAAGGCCCACACATGGCACAGCTCTGTCTTCTTTTCCCCTTTTAAACAGAATGGGTCTTGTCTCAGCTCTGCAGGACTGTTGATGTGATCTGATGGCCCCTTTTCCACAACCTTTAAAAATGCATATTTGCACAGGGACATGCTCCTAGAATGACCTTCCACCAAAGAGCAGAATAACATAAAGCCTCTGAGAGTTATTATTAACTGAGTGCTCCAGGCTCTGGCTGGGCTGAAGGCTCTGCAAGATCAAGCAATTCAGTGTCTTGCTTTCCTGAGAGCTCTACACTTCAGCAACCGAATTTTCAGATTAGTTCTGGCACAGGAAAAATAAATCCAGCAGCTACTACAGTCCTGATCATCAGTTACTTTTGTTGATGGCAATCAGAAATAACACATACGAGACTCATCCAGGCTGCAGGTGGTCTGCTGACAGTGTTTGTGGACTGCCAGTTAAGACCTAGAAATTAGGATGCAAATCAGTTTGTGTGCTTCCAATCTTAGTTTGAAGTGCAGCCCAGTCTAGATGATACATGCCTAAGGCTGTTTCTTACTTCAGAAACCCACAGGCTTTATGTGGAACCAAATTACAACATTCAAACTTCCTCGTTATATTTGATCGTGCATTCTCTTCTCTACTGTGCAATCATGTAGAGAAATGAACTAACATCACCAATTCTTATCTAAAACACAGAATTCCTTCAAAGTTGTCAACTGAGGATTTTAAGAATTTGAACTTGAGGCTTTTCCTCAGACATCTGACAGCAGGGCCAGATCTTTGCTGATGAACTTTCTAATTCTAGAGAGATCATGCTTCGAAGATAATTCTCAGTTTTAGCTTCCACAATTTAGCTTCATTTGATTTCCTTTATGAACAACATGCAGGGTTTGTTTACTCCCTTTCTCTAGGCTTCACATGGACCATGATAGTTTTGGGTTGGATTTTTCTTGTTTAGCAGGGGGAGGGGGCGCATGGGGAAGAAACCTCCCCTCACTTACAGTCATTATTTTACTTATTCTATTAATATTTTGGCTGCAATTTTGAAATTTCAAAATTTTTTAAACTGTTACTCAACAAGCTAAACAAGCCTAAAATCACAAAATTATAAGTCTCCTTTCTTAATCCTTCAGCTCAGAACCAAAGCTGAAAAAGCTAACAAGTCGCATAAGTTGAATGCAGATGATAAAATTTCAAACACTTTAATTCACAAAAAGGATCCATCCAAGTTTGGCTTAAGAAAATAAATAATCTTTGAGCCAACTCTGACTTCTAGCTTGATATACATCTTGCTTTGCATCACAAATAACATAAATAAAATGATGAAAAAAGTGACAAACGCAACAGTAAAAATAAGTCCTTACGAAGCATTTTTTAAAACTGAAAGCCAAAACACATTGAAAACTTAATAAATTTGTCACAGCCTTTGGGAAAAAAAAAAAAAAAAAAGTCTAACATCATGTTAAATTTAATCCTCCCATTATTCTCCTTGTAAGAAAATTCCTATCACACCTCAAATTAAAACTAAGAGAAGATCAAACCACACAGCTTGACCAAAATCACAAAGTATAAACTTGCTTGTATCCAAGATAGCTCATGCAACAAAAAGGGAACTGAGTTTAATATATCCCATGGCAAGATCTGCATCATCTTCTGCAGCTAAATATGCTTTAAATCAAGAGCGTTGCTACAGTTTTTCAAAAGGACACTCTTTTGGTCTGCCACCATGGATTTTTAAATGCATCATGAGATTTTAAGTCTCCTGCTTAAAAGGATTTGGGACAAAAGCAACAGGAAAAAAAAAGTAGAAAAATATCAGGTACTAAATTAAAATTCTAACTTGGTGCAATTTTCACCATAAGAGAAGACAGTTTTAATTTTTGCATATGTTTTATTTAAATCTGTTAACATAGCAGAGCTTCCAAAAACTTGCACCATATTCTTTGTCTTGTGCTTAAAAAAAAAAACAAACTTGGTAGCGGCAAATAACATTTTCCTGATTGTCATAACAAACTCGGTGGGTTTTTTTTTACTTATCATTATGAATGTAGTCTATTTTAAAAATAAATTATTTTTTGTTGTTTAGTATTATTTGGTTTACTGGTACAACACAGCTATTCAACTATTTACAGTACTGTTAATAAAGGATTAATGTAGTTTTAATTTTAGTCTTTCAACCTATGTAGAGAATACAGGATGCAGGGAATAAATACAACTGCTTTATTTTAGTTCCACTATTGCAAACTCCTATATTATTATTTTTGGTCATGATGTTGGGTGCTTTTCTTTATATCTCAAACATTAGAACAATGCATGATTTATCTTCTTAAACAATATTCTTGTCCACATTGTTACAGAGAAAACTTGAAAAGGTCAAGCAAATCATGAGCTTCAGGAAGCTCGATGGCAAAAAAAGTAGTAAAAGTTACTATTGCATTATTTTCTCAAATACAATACCACTAAGACACGTATGCTTTTTTTAAGAACCAGACTATTCCTTGTGAATAGCTTTTGAAATAGCGTAAAATTCTTTTATCAAACCGAAAGCATAATTAAATGCTCTTGATAAATCATACCATTAATCCAGAACAGCATCTCACTTGAACAAAAAAATTCTCACTTTCCTCCTTTTTTCGCATTTATCGCAGTTATTTAATTGTCACATAGCATTAAAAGCAAATAACCGTGCCTTTTTTTCCTCCCTCTTAAAAGCTAGTATTTTTTTTTTCAGTAAAACAGTTTATATCTCACATCATATTTACCTTTATTCATATGAAAATTTATGCTCTTACAGTACAACTTAACAAGAACATGTTGGAAACTTACTGTGAATCCTGAACTACAACTTTAAAACAACACTGAGCAGTACACCATACCAACAGCACTGTATAGCACAACTACTTTGCAGGAAGGAAACAGGAAATATGGATTGTGGAGGGAAAAAGTATAAAATGGAATATGTTCATAGAAGCTTTTCTATAGTACATGCTTTCCCTCAATCTTTATAAGGTTAATTTTTTTACTGTTTTTTAACTTCACCCTCCCCAGAGGACCAATGATTTGCGTAACTAAATCACTGTAGTTGAAAATGCACTATGAACTAATGACCTCTGTAATATTTTTTGAAGTCTTACTCTTTTTTTTTTTTTTTTTTTTAATGGGAACTGGTAACACTGAAAGAATCTTGCAAATAATTTTGAAGTGATTTTAACAAAAGAAGAAATCGCTTCACAGACTTATGACACAACATCTACAGAAACTGATGATGTGGCACAAACCTTTTTTTTTTTTTTTTTTTACTGACAAATCAGAAGAGGGGCTAAGGCTATTATTTCGCTTTGCCTTCCCACAAGGCTCCTCACCACAAAATATGGCTTAGAGATCCTTTGTTCCTTCAGCTGTGTTAGGCTATTTCTCAGAAGATTTCACCAGTACAGTATCTTGCCGCCCTGTACAACTTGAGCTTCAGAGACTTCCACAGAGTAAGTTTTCTTGGTAATCAGGAATAAAAGAAACAGATTGTGTTATTTTTGCAGTTGAGTGATTCATGCATGTTATATAATTCTTAGCTTTCAGCTAGCAAACTGCTTACAAATGCAGTTACTAAGCTTTGAGCTCATTACAGATGCTAAAGAATCATGCTTTTAAGATTTTCTATTTTCTTTCCACTATATAAGTATGCAGTTTATCATATTGTGTGCATCTGATTTGCTTCCCTTGTTATCAAGTTTCACCTGACAAGATTCTTTGCTTTAAAGCTAATTAAACTCTTAGAAATATTTCTTGAAGAAGTGTTTGTACCCCAGTGCTTTGAGACATGACCTGCAAGCCTGGTAGGACAGTTACTATTCTACTAAAAATGCACTCAACTACTGTCAAGGTATATAAAAAAAAAAAAATCCCCCCAAATACCAGCTCCTTTCTCTCTATAAAACCAGTGAGAGACTTTGGTACTTGCTATTTATCATTGCATCTGAAGAGATGATAGTTCTCTTTACACTGTCTACATGGCAAGTGGATCAACTGCATGAAGGCCGAAGTAAGCTTTTTCCTGAAACCGAGGATTTTCTTGAGCTGTTCCTCCTGCTTTCTAAGGACTATTGTGGCACCGAGAACCAAAATTATTAATTGGAATTTGTGACACCTCGTAGAAATGCTGCTCTCTGTGTAGACATAAACCTGCTATTTAATTTGATTAGCTCAGACATCTGATATCTGATGGTGCTGTAGGGATATGGAGATCCTGGCTTTGCCAAGGACCTACCTACAGTGGGGTTCCAAACAACTGACTCCATTCAAACCTGGTTTTAATATTTTAATCAATATGAAACTTGATTAAAGGAGCATTCAAATATCAATGATACAAAGGTATAAATGCAAGTCAGACAGAACCATAAAGTATTTCACCCAGCCATTGTCACACAGGGGTTGTGTACAACACAGGAAGATTACAAGGATGTATTAATTCCATGATTTTGTTACTGTTTTCCTTCAGATTCTCTCTCTTGTTCAATTTGTAGATTACATCATGCATTAGGCATCAATCACCACTATGAAACATAGGAAATAAGCATTTGTAAGTCTCATCTCCATTGTTATTGATTAACTGTGTTTGGTAAAAAAAATATTAAGAGCATCAAGAAAACATGGAAGAAAGTCCCCTGATTAAGAAACATGAATGTCATTAATAAAAAACCCTGAGAATATCTGCTTTCCTCTGCCTCAGGGTTCCCATACTATACTGTAAGTATTTAAGTCTCTTAAAATTTTCCATGATTTATGTACTTTGACCTGCAATGTTGCATTTTGACTCATCTGCTGTTTAAGTTGAACAGCTTGACATGATTGACAACTCTGTCTGACAAATAATAAGGTTTCTCTGACTGCATAAAGTGCTGCAAAATGTTTGTCTGGCTTTGAGCATGAGAAATTTGACATGAAAAATTATTTGTCTTCCACAACATCAGTATTTCACCTCAGAAGGCTACTTTGAAGGTAAATTACTTCATGTCTATAAAGAACATATGATTACAGAAGCATAGGAATACTATAAATAAAACTTTTTATCTGAGGAATTTATATAATATGCAGTACACAAAAGCTGAATTGGATTTGATTTAAATGATGAGAACATAAAAATTAATTTATCATCACCATTGATGCATTGTACTAAGCTATGTTTTGCAGAAAATAATACATAAAATGACACAGAACACACAATCACTAATGTCATGTAATTTCCTATTTTGCATAAAATATAATATTTCAAAGTAATCTATTTCACTGTTCTATTTATAGAAACAATCCTGCAGTAACCTTACCTTAGTTGAGGATATACACTTTAAATAAATATAACTTTGTTTAAAAACAAGAACAATAAACACAAGCCGTGGTTTAGATGCTTAATAAGACTAGCAAATTTCTTCACAAGGAATGTAGTACAATCCTAGCTTGGGTTATTTAGAGAGATGTTGGAATTCCACTCTTGAAGATTTTCAAGGCTCATGCAGAAAAAGTCTAGGCTGATCTAATCTACTGTTAGAGATGGAAACACTTGGGGCACCTGGCAATCACGTAGTCCAACCTGAAATTCCTTCCAAATACTTCTATGACTCTATTGACCACGCACCATTTGTGCAGTGCAAGTTCATAACGACAACAACTCATACATTTGCAAAAAAAGTTTTCATCTTGACACAGTTTAATAAGGCTATTTATGTGCTTCCAAAGGTCTGAAGAAGAAACACTGCTTAGGAATTTCATCAGCACCCATTTAAAACTGACTTGTAAAGCTGATGCTTAACCCATTACACTGGAAAGGACACACCACCTCAAATGTCCAATACAAACCACAGACCACACCACTTCATATAAAAAGTCCTCTTGCAACTTCTCTGTAATAAATTAAAGCAAGGAAGGAATGAAGACTGGGATTTTTTTATACTCCCAACTGTTATGGTATCCTTTGGTAACAAGCATAGGACAGGTAGAAAGCTGTTCCTTGTCTGAACTCGGACAAGAAAGGATGTTTATTTCAAAGACAGTGTATTTGTTTATAGCTGTTTTCTTGGAAGATGCAGATTAAAACTTGGTTTTGCTAACCATGTCACTGACAGCACTGCCAAAAAAAAATGCATTACCCTATTTTATATTGCTTCTTAAAACTGAAACTTATATGTTATTCATTTCATGACTAATAAACTTATTTTACCTTCTCATCAACAGGATACAACACATCAAGGTAAATATGGGGATTCTGAGCCAGTTATCCATCGTTCATTTCCTCTGGGCTGCCATGGTCTTTTCTCAATATGAAGACTATGATTTTGAGGATGAGTTTGATGAAGAGCCAATTCATCAACATCCATATTATTTTAATCCAAATACACAAGCTCAAGTTCCTCGCTTCCCTTTTCCGTTTGAGTGCACCAGAGAATGCTTCTGTCCACCAGCTTTTCCATTATCAATGTACTGTGATCATCGTAAACTTAAGACAATACCAAATATTCCTAGACACGTCCAACAACTTTATCTACAAAACAACGATATTGAAGCTGTACCTGCAGGACCATTCACTAATGTTACCTTCTTAAGAGAAATTAATCTCAGCCACAACAAAATAAAGTTTCATATGATTGACCACGGTGTTTTTGCCAAACTTTCAAACTTAGTGCAACTTCATTTACACCATAATGAATTAGAAGAAGTTCCATTCCCACTCCCCAGCTCTCTGGAGCGACTCCTCCTTGGTTTCAATAAGATTTCTCAGTTATCTGGGAAGGCACTGGAAGGATTACCTAACATAACCATGCTTGACCTTTGCAATAACTTTCTCGATGACTCAGTACTCAAAGGAAAACCCTTTTCAAACATGAAAAATTTAATGCAGCTCAATTTATGCAACAACAAATTACAGACCATGCCTCCTGATCTACCATCATCACTTATGTATCTCTCTCTTGAAAATAACTCCATTTCTTATATTCCAGAAAACTATTTCAACAGACTTCCAAAAATAATTGCTCTAAGATTGTCCCACAATAACCTGCAGAACATTGCACGCAACACCTTTAATCTACCCAACCTTCTAGAACTTAATCTTGGACATAACAAATTGCAACAAGTATTCTATATTCCAAGAAGTTTGCAGCATTTGTATATTGAAGACAATGACATTGAAAGTATGTTGATGGTTGTAATTCTTTAAAAGCAGAAAACTTAGTGGATGCTGGCATTGGTTGTGGGAGGGGGGGGTGAGTTCAGCATATTTTCCGTACCATGCAGAATTAAGAACTTTTAGCCTACATCAAAAAAGTATCAGAAACACCTCTTTTGTTGTGTCCTTGATTTTGAGGACCTGCCACCTTACAGCTTCTCAGTTAGGTCATATATAAACCCAAGCACAGAATCCAGCAGTCATCCAAATTTGCATGTTGTTCAAGAGGTACTCTGACATCTTTCCTTGCAGAGAGGTGAGTTTGAGCTATTTGTGTTCTAACCAATCAGTTAATGTGGCACTGACCCAGAGTTCCTGCACACTATATTTCTCGGGAGCAGATGCAGCTCTGTAGCTTTTGATCAGCTTACAGTGCAGGAAGAATATCATCCCATCTTCTTCAAGATGCAGTGTAAGCATATCCTTGGTTAGTTGAGACCAAATTAGTGAAATTAGAAAGGATTTTATTTTTGCACTTTACCCCTAATCTGCAATTTTTTGTAAAAGTTAATACCAGTTTTTCTTATAACAAGCTAAAGCCTTTTTGAAAATTGATTTGGAGTAGGCAAATTATGAAAAAATACAGAGAAAAGGAATTATGACAATATTCCATTCACATAAAATAGTAATTACAAATTACAGTGGTATTCATATTTATTTTTTTCTTTACCCACAACCTTACACTTTGCAAGACTCAAAATTGTTATCACTGCCATTTACAGAACTGATTTAAAACACAGGGAAGAACTTTATTAATACTGTGCAATGCAAAAATATTTTCCATTTTAAATGTCAAAACATAAGATTCACTTCTGTAATATGTCTTAAATATAACTATTTTCTGTATTTTAATTAATATTTTTCTCTCTCTTACAGTCATAAATGTTACTTTAATGTGTCCAGCTATTGATCCAATGAACACCAACCAATTAACCTATATACGGGTGGACCAAAATAAGCTTACGATTCCAATAAGCACATATGCATTCTTTTGCTTCCCTCACATTCGAGCCATTTATTATGGTGAACAAAATGTTAATGTCAGCAAATCAACTCAGTTAAGAACACCAGTGTTTCGACGATTTTTAACACCAGAAGAATACCATGAAGCAGAAGACGATCATGAAACACGTAATCACGAAACCGAAGAAGATCATGAAGTAGAAGACAACTACTTTCATCCTTACTTTCAGTGAAGTAATTGTTAATGAGTATACATGGAAACTTTTCCTTAGTTGTGGGTTATTCATACATTTTAGAACAGTTGGATAGTTTGGAATATTTAAGATACATATATAAAGCAGAGATAGGATTTTAGTGCAGGGAAACGTCCTATTATTGTTGTAAAACCCCATAATATTAGGAACAAAGAGCACTCACCTCAGTATTAGATAGCAGTCTGATATATAACCTGGGATATATAACCTACTACTGAGAGCAGACGAAAATAGACACAATAGAGAAAAGAATAAAAGGGTAAGATTACAAAAAGCTTCCACAAGGTTCTTCCATATCTTCTAGAAATACAGATGTTTCTTTTTCCAATTCTAATTGGACAGGAAAATAACAAACTTTGAGTTTCAAATCTTCCTCATAATATGTTTGCAGTGTCCTGCCAAGGTGTATTATATTTACTTCTCAGCTTGTACCCTAGCTATCACAATTCTTTCAAAGGAGACTTTAGCTTATTAGTAACATAGTCAATAAATAGCCTTTTGTCAAAGGTCTCAGGATCTAGGAAAGAGGATGTGCACTAATAAAACCGATCCACTAGTATTTACATTTTACCTATGTTTAGCACATAGTATTTTAGAAGGCACATAAAAATGTAATGTAGTCTTTTGATTAGAATTATTCATCAAGTAGAACTGGTGCAAACAGTAGCATTCCAGGTTAACTTATTAATTTAGACTATCCCTCTACATAGCTAATGCTAATTAGCTGCACTCTGCCTCAAAGTAGAACAAAAATTGCTTTAGGCAATCTAAAGAGAAGTACTGTATAATATTTCAGCTATGCAAATTTTTTTATTATGTCTTATGCCTAGAAACAGATCCAAATAACTACAGGGTAGTATAATACTAATACATCACTGCTTTTGTTTTCTTTAAAGTCTTTATTTTCCAGCACTTCTTTCCCGATAATTTTTTGTTAGTTGTGAAGAAGAATCACCATTTTCAAGAAGAAAAACAAATGCAAGAAGTAGAACCATACATCATACTACCAGTTTTACATTATACTTTCAGTGTGGTAAAACTGAAAAGGAAGTATAAAATTATGTGAGTAAATCTGTATTAGAATTTCTAAAAAGTTTCAGACAGGTTTGGTTTTTTCTTGAACAATTTCAGTTATTTTTTGAAGTCCATCTTAGTATATTTTGGTTTATGAAGCAACAACTAACAAATTAACAAAATCAAAATACTTACTGAGTGGGTTTTTTTTAAAGGAAATAAATTCCTCATAAGCCCAGTAATATAACCTTTAAGAATATATATCTACAGTCTTTAAGAACAACTGGTTGTAAAAATTTGTGGACACAAAATTTTTTACATCATTATTAAGTTGTGGGTCTTTGGTCAACTAACAAATTTATTCTTTCTCTCCTTCCCCTTGTTCTAATCACGTTCGGAAGAGATATAATAATCATGGCAAAATATTTTATTTTCACCTCACAGATTTATAGTGCTGCAAAATTTATTTTCCTCTTCTTTTAAAAAAAAATGTTTATTAACATTTATCAACTTCAAGTACCTCTGTCTTCATATAGGAGGAATATATGTACGTATTCAATACTTTATTTAAATACTCTTATCAAAAACTTAGGTACAGTATACACACTATAACTTCTTAATTTTATTTATACAAACATACAACATATTAACCATAGGGAACCTTCATAACTTTTCAACTATTTCAGATTTTAAGCATAAGTGAGCAGTGCAAAAAATGCCAATCTAAATTAATACAGGCTTTTAATATAGGCTTTTTTGAAAGTCTTGCTCAGCTTTAAAAAAAAAAACAAACAAACAAAAAAAAAACCACTATTCAAATTAGTACAAGTACTATATCTTTCATCACAAACTTTCTGCTTTTTAAAAACATTTATGAAGCAATGTTTTGCTTTAGTTTTAACGTAGAATTAAAGGTATTGACTTCATAGCAACTAGTAATATAGATTTCTTAAAGTTTAAATATAAGTCAAACTGATAATTATTGAAAACTTAAGAGCTGTCTTATTAAACTCATCCAGATGAAACATGAGAACTCTATTACAAGCAGAACCCTCATAACTCACTTTTCATTCAATTAATGTTATTGTTTCTCATCTGTGGCAAATACAATGCTGTTCTTTAGAAAAAGATTTTAGGGTGGCCAAAGAACTAAATACTTGATAGTCTTATGTCTGTATTAGAGAAATGAGAAGTAGAGAAATAATGGATATCTAGATAATTTGCTCTTGTAAGACTGGGCACGGCTTCATAAAAGCCATGATGTTTTTACCTTAGAATTCTCTTAGATTTCTCTGAAGGAATCATGGAGGGTGTGGAAAAGGGAGATACTGGTCCAAACAGCCTACAAAAATTTCTGAGAAGTTTTTAAGGAAACTAAACTGTCACAGATTAAGAGGTGACAGCACATACAAAAAAAATCAAATAAAATATAAGAAACAGCATAAGAATAAATGGTCAGTTCTTGCTGTGGTGGGAGCCCACTGGTGTGAGTTTTACAAAGAGCCTATGCCGGAATTTATTCAATTTAATATACTTGCAAAAGATAGATAAATTGGGCTGAGAAGCAAGATGACAACAAAGATTGTTAAGCATCAATGAAGAATGACTGCATAAAGACCTCAGGATGCTAAAATAGCCAGTGAAATTCAACATTATTAAATGAAAAATCATATCCATGAAAAAGATGATATTAGCTTCTCATAAAAACTAACGAACCATGACCTCACCACCTCCACTCAGGAGCAAGACTAAGAAGTAATAATAGGTGGGTTCAGTGAAATCACTGGCCTAGGACCCAGTAGCTGTGAAAAAGAAACTCAAATGTAGAGAGTAACTACAAAGAAAGAGAAAACAATAGACATCATGATGCTGCTACAAATCCATGGCTCATCCAGGCTATTAAACACATCGCTGATTTCTGAGCCCTTCATGTAGCTGGCATACTTACATATGGCACTCTTAGAAAAGGATCAGAGAGAGGTAATAAGGTCACCAAAGGTAAGGAATGGCTTCTATTTAATCAACACTGAGTAGGCTGGAACTCACCAGTTCAGAAATGAGATGGCTAAGGGGAGATATAGGAGATACCCACAGAATTATGAGTTGCATAGTCATCATGGGTCTGGGGATCACCTGCTCCAGTACAAGTGTAAGCAGCCGTCAAATGAAGCCAGTATGTACCAAGTACAAACCAGACAAACAAAAGTTTGTAGGCAATATGTAGTCAGCCCATGAAACTGCATGTCCGAGAACACAGTGGACGCAGCATCAATTTTATACATGGTTTCAAGGAAAGACTGGATAAGTTATTGTATTTCTTGGAAGAGATCCATTTTAGGTTGTTAAACAGACAAAGTACAGTAGGTACAGAAGTGCTGAGCTGAAAATAGCTGGAGAATGGAAGAATATATGGAGACAGGATGAGACAAGAATCATACATGCTTGTCTTCTCAAAGCATCTGCTTTATGACCATTACAGGATATTGTACACTAACCTTTATTTTGAATTCCACACCCAGCTCTATGGTCTCACTATCCTGGACTACGGTAACATGTTGCTATTACTCTTCAGTATTAGTAAGCGCTTATTGCCTTGAAAGAGTTGAATTTTAAACTTTTTTTTAAGCACTACCAAATATGGTTATATGCCAAGGCATATTCTAGCTCATTGAATTTGGGAACAGCACATCTGCAATGCTCCACATTGCAGAGTTCTGTAGCAGACAGACATCCATATTGATTCAGGTACACAAAGCAGCCTAGCCATGTAAGTGCGGAGCTCTTTATAAACCAAATTATACCACTACATAACCACATAGATTTTGGTATCAGGACATACTTGCTAAATGTTTGCTCTGGTATTTATTTTCAGAATATTATATAGTCTTTTTAAGAAGGAAATAGATTCATAAACTAAAACTAAACATGCAATAAAATGCTACTTATTTTATCAGCAATAGCAAAACCTAACAAATACCAAACAGCTTCATTAGTTTACAGCATTCAGTAAATACAGAAACAAACCTGATCTGGTTTACAACAGTGCGTCTGCATTAGCAATTAAGATGTAGTACTAGGGTGGATCAGTAGAGCAAAATACCTTTGATGAGGCCAGGAGATCCACACTCTGATTTTTGAGGGAGAGGAGCTTTACTTCACACTAGCCCTAGCCAAAATTAAAATCCATTGGCATCTGCAGCACATCAGATGCACCCCTAAGTACATACATCTTCTAGTGTGTTACACCCAAATAGAATAGTCCACATACTCCAGAGAGCTCTGGGATGTGAACCAAGGTACAGTAAACCGGGGTTATCGGGAGATTTGTTTCGAAAATGCACTCCTGATCCCAATTAAAACACTAACAGAATCATGACCAGAAACACAGCAATTGAGAAAAATAGAATCTCAGTTCTATTCTGAAAAAGCATGTTTTCCAAGTCTTATCTGTATAAAGAAGGATGGAACCTTCTTAAATATTATCAGCACTATCCACAGTGCACAATAATTAGCAAGGTTGTATTAGTGCACCATAGAACATTTTGATACCTCTGTAAACCTATAGGGGAAAAGCCTCTCAGATTTCACGAAAACATTCAGTTACGACTAAGCTACAATCCACAAAATTAAAGCTCTCAAAACTACAACAAAACTGACAAACACATTTTCTTCACAAAGTCTATACACCAAGACTTTTTTGCAAAAATCAAAATAATGAAAGAGAAGTAACAGTAGTCCAATCCAGCTGTCTACATTTCTTCCCTTATTCTCAAAACAATGGGAACATTTTTTGTCTTTTTTCCATTTTCTGTTGTTGATGGTATTTAATACTTATAAGGCTTACTTTTTGAGATATTTACTTCAGTATCCTGATAATGAAAGTTACATGGATTAGGGAAAAACCTCCTTTATAGAAAACAGATGGTTGACATTTCAAGTTTTCTGACTTCTTTGCACATGCTCACATTCCACTGTTACAATATGAATCAATTTCCTTCTTCGTTTCCTAACTTGATCACTGCAAGCAATAAACATAGGAATTTCCTACCTGAAAAACACTGAAATAGAATATGCTATTTTTTTAAACAAAAAACGTATATACCAGAAGAGATTTTGTGATTATTTTTCAGTATTACTGCAAGAATATGAACCTTTTACCTATAAACCAATTTGTGTATACACTATTGGAAGTTATGGAACTCCAGAGATATACATATTTATCATATAATGTTTTAAACTCTTTTGCCCAAAATCTACATTTCTAACAACCCAATTTATTTAAAAGGAAAATAAATACCTTAACTTCTTAATTCATTGAATAAATTCATCATCTACAGAGGAAAAAAAATAAAATCAACCTTTTCTTATTATAAAGCACAACACAAGGAAAAAATAGATCAATATGAAGATTAGCCATCAACACAGAGAGTAAATTAGATGCTATATTTAACATAAGGAACATCAGGTTAATGAGTCTTGGAGCCCTGACTCCAGTGTTCCTGTAGACACAGTAATGGCTCTCAACAAGTGACGATATTGTTATGAAGTAGTAATGTCAATTCAGGAAGGAATTCTCAGAAATTTTAATAAATTGAAGTAGGTTGGCTTTTGATTCAGGGTATAACTGATGATATATAGGCAAAGCGCAAGAGCACATATGTTCAACAGAGAGGTCTGGGTAAAGAGCAGACTGTACTATTACTCTAGCTACCATTTGTATTTGTTTATCTGTTTACTACCGTGTATGATTTTTAAAATGTGCTTTATTCATTTATAACACAGTAACTGATATGAGTCTGTTTCTTATCCAGAAATGCAAGGAATAAAGGTAATGCCTTCAGCTTTAAAAAATTCTGATTATAAATCAGAAACATATGGAAGGATGTTCATACCATCACTAGGTCATTTTTCAGCTGTCTCTATTTTGTAGCTGGTGGCCCTAATCGTGACCTAAACTTAATCTAATTCACTAAGCCTTCGAAATAGCTGCAACTTTTCATAACAATACTGGAGGTGTTTACACATAACTATTTCATCTCTGGTGCTTTTTTTGGTCATTCTGAATCTTTAGGAACATTCCAAGTTTTCTCTGTAAGACATGATGACCATTTATTTTACATTTAATACCAGCTCTGACCCCTCCTTCATCCCTCAAAGATGCTGAATTGGAATATACTTTGCTTAATATTACACAACAACTTTTCCATAATATTACCTTCAGTTCAACTTCTGTGCACTGATCAAGAACAAACCAGGAGACTGCTTCCTCCCTTTTGGGTACTCTGGCTTTTTGTTCCCAGAATGAATGCAGACCCACTATAAGCACAGACATTAAACTGCCTTCAAACTATTTTTACACCACTGTATCACAATCTCAACAAAAAGCAGAGGGGGATGTAGGAGTCACAGAGAAGTTCCATAGCACATACAGTCAAAACACGCAGCTGTACTATCAAAGAGAAAAATAATTTTAGAAGGTTAACTTAATCAGGCCTCACAAACAATTGAGCAGAAAAGGCCTGAATTTTAGAAGAAGTAGATGATGTAGAAAACAATCCAGAATACTTAAGATATTTATTTTAGTTTAAAAATGAAGAAAAAGACAAACACTGAGTTCAGTTTTAACATCACTTCATGACTTTGTTCTCTTTAACAGTAAAACCATTTCACTGCTTGCAGTTTATTTTGTACATGTTATCAGGCTGGTTCAACTCTAAAACTTTTTCGATTATAATTATTTCAATGCAGAGCAGCTGGTCAACACTGCTAAGTGTTTAATCACACTTCATACAAAAGATAGGGTGAGGAACACTGAACACGTTACCTTCCACATGGAGTTAAAAAAAAAAAAAAAAAATAAATCACATCTAAGAGAAAATTCAGAATTGTGTCTAGGTGTATAAATGCCCAGAAGTCTTTAAAGGCTTTCCTCATTTGTCCCCATTTCGCTCTGTCACAGACCTATTTCTACTCAAGACAAAACACTAACTTTTGAACATCCTGTATAAGTGACTTCCAATGTTTATCAGGTATAAGCAAGCTAAGCAATAATCCATACTTTTTTCTTCCAAGAACACTTAAAAACAATAAAACCCAGAAACTACAAAACTTGCCAATATTGTCCTTTAGAGACTATGACACAAGATGAAAGCCAAGGTCTTTAAGCAGCTGCAAAAATACACTTTCTTTGCCTAAATATAGAACAAACCTGCATGCTTAAAAATTGAAAAAAATTTCAGATTTGGTTTATTCCATAAGGAGTATCTTGACAGCAACCTTACAGCACTTTCCCTAGTGCTGCCTCACAGCCCTATTAACGCAGGCACCCCAGAGATAAGGCCCTTTTTAAATTTACTTACTTTCCCTCATTTTAGTTCTTCGTCCTAGTGTTCTGCCTCCCATCACACAATCACAAGTCTTTATATAGGCAGTGCCAGTGCTTCCACAACATTCCTACAGGCACCTTGGAAAAGCAATTTCCAATCAAATTTAGAGAGGGTAATCTATCCCCCTGTAGTAATCTGGCTCTTTTTAGGTCAACCCGTTCTTCAGTGCCTTGCAGGGCTTTACCAGGGACAAGACCCAAGTGCCTCACACTGAGAATTATCAGCAACCAGCCCTCAGTTCCATTTGAAAACTCACTACAACATTTCAAAGCAATGTGAAAGTAAAAAGACACCTAACATGCTAGCACCTCTGACAACTGCTTTCTGCTGAAAGCCACGGAAAATAGAGAATTGCCCCCTCATTTAAATTGGCAACAAACAAGGAATAAGAACTGCTCATGGCAGCTTTTGCAGTATGCACCTGCATGATTAGTTTTTAAGGAAAACTTTGGTTTCTTTTTTGATCTGCCTTCTGAAGTGTTAGTAGAAAGATGAGAACAGAAATTAAGCTCTGAGCAGGGCAGAATACATGAGGCCACTTCAAGCAGAAGATAAACAGACTGAGCTGGACATCAGCCAGTTCAAATGAACCACATTTTTCATTTCAAACTATTTGGAGATTGTGGTTATTTCAAGTAATTTTGAGCAAGAATAAAGCAGCACGCTTGCTGAAAGAAGCAATACTATCCCTTCCCTGTTGGCAGCCACTTGTACCATCCCCTTCCTTGTGCTATGAGCATCTGTTACATGTTTAGATAAAAGCAATTTTGGTCTGAAATTATTTGTTGATACTTTTTCTTCTTCCTGACACGAAGGATGACAAGCAGACTAAATACAGGACAGGACTACTACTTTATTTGGCACTGACAGTTTAAAGTGACAGTAAAACTATACTGTAAGGTAAATCTTGATGACATCATGCCAAAGTAATTACTTAACATATCCCCCTCCATATGTATGCGTAAGTAGGTATTCATGAGTTTCTTGTAAGTGCTTGGATAGCAAGTGAGTACACACATTACACAATGTTTTTGTGGTAAGCATACCACTGAAATCTTATAACCCTGATGAATGCAGACTTTTGACAATGTTTTCTGCAGAAGCTATTACTAAAGTCTTCTAACATTACAGAGCCTCTTTCCCTCTTGCAGATCAAAGCAAGTAAAAGCTTTCTTGCATGAATAATTCCTAAATTTTCAAGGCCTCATTTATCTAGTAATTTTCCCTCAGTTTTAAAATTTGTTATATATAAGGAAAAAACTAAGCTATTCCCAAGACATTCTATGCACATAGTTGTGAAATCTAGGATTTCAGTACTTACAAAATAAATTCTCATAAGAATATAACAAGTATATTTTATATCATACTTTCTGATTCAATATTTAATACTTTTCCCTTAGAACATTTATTCTTTGATTACATTCAGGCATTGGAGAAACTTGCCCCAGAGCCAGATAAAATCTTCACCTGGACATCAGGGGGAAGGCAGCTGCAAAGAGGTAAGTACAAAGCAGAGCTGTTGGCATTACTTCTGAAACATGCACGAAGTCAGGAGGGGTTGTAAGATGGTATGGATGCTGCAACATTTTTGTCACTTCCTCAGCAAATCCACCCACCACACAGTACTTCCAACTGAAAGTTCCTGTGTACTGCAGCAGTAAACACCATAACAACCTAGCCACTCCAAAACTTTTGTTGTTCTTATTGTTCCAGCAGAACAGCAACCAATGTGATTCAGAGTCCAATTTCCATTATTATTGAGCCTTTTCCCTTTACATTTCAGATATATGTTTACAGCAAAACCATTATCCTAGAGCCAGCTCCAAGCCTAAACTATGATACTGTTTAATTTGCATATGAGCTAAAGTAAAAACAGTTTTATAAAATCCTAATGAGTTCAGAAAGTCGTAACTGATTATAAACTGGAAAAAGAGTTTAGAGAACAAATGGCTGTAGCCACTTTCCAATTTGCAGATTTACTACAGACATCTGGTTTCTAAACAAGGCAGCACTTACAAAAAACTTAACCAAGTAGGTCCACTGTTTATCCCCAACGTTACTCTAGTTAACAGTGCTATCTTGAAAATAAAAAGTATGAAAATGGAAGAGAGAAATGTAAATCTGAATATATTCTCTATAGATTTTATTGCTACATACTTTATAAAGACTCAAAAAAGCTACTTTGTAAACTTTCTAGTTGGTCATCTGGCTCCCATTTGTACTGACTGCCAAAAATACGTAATAAGGAAAAGGATGGGGGAGGAAGAAACGCATTAGAAATCCAGAAAACTGCTGCTTGTAGTTCAGATGAAAATTCTACACCTGGGCAGTGTTTACCAAGTTATCTATCGAACTGACACAGAATTGTACTCAAAACAAGTATGTATTGTGAAACCAATTTTTCAATAAATTGGCTAACAAGTCATTCAATGAACTATTTCGACATGAATTGTTTGAAAACCTCAACATGCAGACTATTCTAAAAAGCATTTTTTGCTTCCAGAACTTCTCAGACTGAAAAGTTTCCATTCCATACTTAGGTGAAACTTCTCTAAATATATACAACTTGTAACGAAACATTTTATTACTCATAAAATGTGACTAGTATGGTATACGTATGTTTTGGCTCTACAAGTGTGTCAGTCAGAAAGCAGCTGCTCTGTCTCTTAGCTAAACCATTAAACAAAATGGGTAACACATGCCTTGTTATTGAACTCCACTTTGCACAATTAATACTTGATTTATAGAAAAAGCCTTAGCAATTATGAAGAGTAAATCACCACAAAGCAGAAGGCTACCATTTTAACAAGTAATATCAAAAGCAGGATGAGCTAGACAGACAACATTTACAAATGTTATTCAAAGTACAACCCCCCTGTCTCCAGGATATTACCTCTTACCCTAGGGAAAGAATGCTGGCAAAGCATTTTTTTACCCCATGGAAAGCACTTTTAAGACTGTCAAACTTGGAGAGAGTATTCATTTCAGCAATTTGGATGTAATTCACAACTTTACTCTTTTATCAATCTACTTTAGGTTAACCTATAGATAAGGATATCTGGTTTTATGACAATCAGAGAAGAATTTTGAATCTGCTAAAACGGTAGGTGGATTTTTTTCCTAAAAGTCTATTAACCTAAAGCTTAAATAAAACACTTCATTACAGGAAATGGGAAAAAAAATGCTACATAAAGTTTTATTCTAAAAAGTTTTACGTGTATTTAAAATGTTTTACAGATTATGTTTGTAGCCTCCTCCCCCTGCCTGAAAAGTATACAACCTGTAAAATATTCATTGGGTGTTAAATTATTTTCTCTTGTTTACTTCCAAATGTAGAGACAAGGACAATGAGAGATTATTGTTATAGAGCATTTAAATTTGAAAATAATTATTTTGACAGCCAAAAGAAATGCATTTGAGCCTCTGTCATTTTAATTAGTTCAGCTATATATATGTCAAATGTTTCATAAAATGCTTTACAAAATCCTCTTGCTATTAACAAAAATAACACACTGGGAAACAAGCAAATGCAATTAAGATATTATTTCCCTTATTAGTTGGAAAATGTTGTTTATTATTTCCCAGTTTCTTTTCATGTTAAGAACAGTTCTTAAAATAGTAGAGTCTAATTAAAGGATATCAAGAGTTAAAAGTTGTTCCATGTTCCTTATGCGTTAGAAACCCCTGCCAACTAGTCCTCTAGGCTTTAAATATTGTTTTGACGGATTGCATTTTCATTTCCAGTCACAAAGAAAGTATTCTCCATAGTCAACGCATGAGCAGATCTTCACCAGCTCAGTGAAAGCCAGATACATTGTTCCGTGCAACAATGAAGACTTTGCAGACTACTTTTTTTTGGTTTGTGTTTGTACCGTTGGTAAATACAGCACCACCTATACAGCAAGATTCACTCCAGTTTTATGAGTATGATACAGATGATATCATGGGAAGCCTGATCCAACAGGATTATGAAATGCAATCCAAGGACATAAGAAAGGTATTTTATTTATATTATCAGTTTAATATTTTTAACTCTTAAGTGTTATATGAACAAGGTGTTACATGCATGTATGCAAGTTTTATGAAAAAGTCTTATAATAATAGCAAAACATACAATGGTTTCAGACATAGGGAAAGCCACTCAAATTAAAACCACAAAAATACTACTCTTGCTACAGTTACTGTTGTAAGAGTTTCAAGAATGGGATATACTAGTATACTAGCTTAACAGTGTGTAATTTATTAACATAGTAAGTTTGTTTAAAAACAAGGACAGTGATTTTATTTAGGTGTGTGAGGGGGTTATATTTCAAGAGTAATACTTGAAACAGGATTTTTATCGGACAAAACCTGTCAGCATAAATTACAGCTTCTCTTTCGACTAACCAAAATAGCAAGTTTTTTGCCTTGATTTTTCAGGGGTGGGTTGGTTGGGTTTTTTGCAACTCAACAATTTAGCAGTCCTGAACTACTATGGAACATCCAGTCCTGTGGTAATCACCTACATTATTAACACTTTGAGAGTCTTAAAGGTAGCAATACAGCTTGTACCACATGGCACTCACCAGCACCCCCAAACGGTCAATTATGAACTTTTTTGCTCTGTGCTCCACATATATGTCTGTTCATTTAAACACCGAAGCAGAAGACACAAAGATAGGGGAGAGTTAAACAAAGTGAAACAGGCTCAGCTGACAGGAACAGTTAAAAACCTCATCCCTCTGTTCAGACTGCCGCTGACAGGACCTAAATGATACACATTAGGAGACCGAGATACAACATTGATCATGAAGAAAAACTAACAATGATTGCCCCAAGACTAGTTGCCAAGAGAAATACTATGTATCCAAACAAAGCAGTGACAACAGTGTATTAGTAAATTCAAGGAAGCTTTCTTTAATATTAACTGTACTTGTAACAATAACTTTGTCTTATAAACAAGAAAAACAGACAAGGCAAAAGATAATTAGTATAAGTAAAAACTTGCAACACATAAGTAGAAAAATCACTTCTGTATACCTTTTTAATATTTTCCCAATTCTACTTAAATTATAGCTTTCCACTGTTAGACTAAAACCAGCAGCTACACCTTTATATTAAAAAAATCTATGGTATTTTAAAATCTAATGTCTGCCACAGTGATGAAGTAACATGTTTTCATAAACCTATGAAAAAGAGACCATTTAAATGACTAACAGGTGGCTATCCACTCACAAGTGCTTACAAAAATACTAAAAAGGTTAACAGTAACTAGTTAGGTACAGCACCAGATGACATTCATTACTAATACTGTTCTAATAAGAATATGCTATTATTTCAGTAAAAAACAATAAGGAGTATACCTACAATGAAATGGTGTCAACAGATGTGCCACAGACTAATCAAAGTCCATACAGGCAGCTCTATAAACTAGAGGTCTTCTGAAGGCCAACAGTTCTGCTTAGGATAATTCTAGGAATGCAGTCAGTCATTATTTCCATCAGGTCAGTTCTCCAATTACATGTTTTCATTACAAAATAACAAATTAGTTCCTTATGTGCAACAAATACATCTACACAAGTTCCAGTGTTCCCAATTGAAACCATGGGATGCACAAAGAAATCCTCTATTCATTTATTGCACAAATTCTAGCTCCCAGAATATTTCAAGTTTTAACTGTAACCGAGATACATGCCAAAAAGTTCGACAAAGATGCCCAGTTAGAAATCTATCTTGCATGACAAATTTAACTCCTTACTGTGTGCTTGAACACAGTTAGAAAAAAGATTTTTAGTGAAAACATCAGAAGAAATCTATTTGTGCAAGTGATCAACAAAATGAACTTTAGACTATTACTAAGGAAAAAGGTCAGCCAAGCAAAATTTATTACAGTGATTATTATTTGAAACCACAGCCACCCTAGCCTTGAATAAAATATTAGAATTTTTAAAAGATGAAATCTTAATAATCTTAATTTCCACAACAGAACAGAACCATCCCATTAAACACCATCTCATACCTGGACTAATTAAATCCATTTATATAAACTACCAGCTAGACCTTTTTGTGCTATAAAGATGAATCAATTACTTTGCAGAAGTTTTAAGATGGTTGAAGCATTTAGATGTAAAATGTAAATGTGGTTTTGGATGGGTAACTCGTGTCTGTGGAGTAAAGTGCAAGATGCAGGTGGAATTTAAGTAGGGCAATATTCCTTCCATGCATTCCCTACATATGCAAGTAATGAACTTTCTGTGGCTATAATCCAAACAATCTTCTGCACTGATACAGCTAGGTATTTTTATAGCTGACAAGAAAATACTACTGGGTTTTTTGTTTGCTTCTGGGGGGGAGGCAGCAGTGTGTAGGAATTTGTTGTTTAATTTTGGGGATTTAACAGTGTTCTGCAAATAATCAGTTTTATTTTTTGTTGACATTTCCCACTGCAGTAATTAGTTGTACATTGTATGCTGCACTGAACTCACATGCACACTCTTTCACAGATCACACCTCAAGAAGAACACTGCACTAGAAACCTACACCTAGTACAGATATGCTATGTCAGCAAACATGTTTTTCATAGAAGCATATTAAAAATGTCCCTTATGAGCCAAACAACCTACCACAATACAAGTGCAGTTGTTCTGTTCTAAGTCCACATACACAGAAGTCCTACTGGCATGGACACCTCAAGTCAAGGACCATGTCTTCACACGCCTAATCAACATATCTATTCAAGCTAAACATTCTCGCAGAAACATTCTGTAAGACTTGCTGCTTGTCTAACTGTTCAGCTCACACCCCCCCCAGCTTCTCTACACCCAAGACTGCAAAAGCTGTTACCCTACACAGAAGTTCCATGCTACAACTGCTGAGCTGTTGCCAGCATTTTAACTTGGGTATTAAAGTTTTACTAGAGCAAAACAACCTATCCCAAACAGGAGGCAAAAAAGAGCCACAGCCTGGATAGGCAGATGCGGGGAAGAGCCAAGGGATGATTCACAGGCTAAAACAGGGTCAAAATGACAGAGGCTGGCCAAGATATTTGTTTCTCAGGCTTTATGTCAAGCTTGAGGGTTTTATATTCATAATACAAAAACTCCCACAGTAAAGTACACGCAAGCAACCAAATACTAAATATAACAAAGTTAATATTACAGTACCTTGACTGATAGTGTTACTTTCACATTGCTCTTCCAGATGAACAATCTGTGCACTACATGTCTGAATGGGAGGGGGCAAGATTTTAATAAAAGAAAAAAAAAAAAAAAGAAAAAAAAAAATCGGTTCACTTGGGAGCACTTGCAGTGCCTAAGAAGTTCTCTTCAACAGGGGGGACCATACTCCTGCCAGGGCCTGATCCTTAAGCACATTTAAAGAAAAACATTTTCCACACCAGATAATGTACTTTTCTCCATGTGTTCTCAATAGCCACGCAGACCAAAAAGCTTATTGCATCACTCTGTCCTACAAATATTCCCCATCAAAAAAGACAATGAATGATGCTAGCCAGGAACAATTGCCACAGTCAACCTAAAAACACCCTTAATACATGCAAATTATAGTATAACCCACTGTATGTATACCATAATTATAAAAATAGTATGTAATTCTCTAAAATTCCTACAATGTTCAATGAAAACCTGACTACCATTCCCTGCATCACAAAAGGCCCTTTCTATCAATAGCCTGGGTCCTAAAACAGTCTGAAGCACAGTTAATGGAAATTAATTGCTGAATTTCAGCCAATACCTGAAAGAAACATATTTCTGAGCTAAGTTGTCCTGCAATTGAAAAGATGCACTGACTATCTCAACAGCAAATTCTGATTAACTTTAAATGCAAGGAAATGTTATTTTACTGAGATTATTTGGGTAAAACAAAAAATACAACTTACATTTACAAGAATTCTATCAGATCTTGTATGATGTGTGAAATTTTCTGTCTTCAGAACTCCAGGTTTTCATAGGCACCCATCACTTACATATTCCTTCCCCACTACATACTCTATATTTTCTCTCTATTTTTATTTTGTATCTACTGTTCTTTCCTAAAGAACTTTACTTTTCTAAAGAACACTAGCAGCACCACCTTCACTGCTTGCCTGTCAAAGTGAATAGCTGATGTACAAAAGGGATAATACATACTCTTACATGCTGGATGACTAATGTGATTTTAAAATTTAAATGCCATAAGGAAGTATGTCATAGGAAGTTCATTTTTGAAAGACATGCTATTTCAGATTGTTACAATACTCTGTGGTTTTTTTGTTTGCTGTTTGTTATTTAACATAACATTTGTTCTCACATAAAGGATGGAACAAATGTTTCTCTTGACATTTCCCTAAGACTGCAAGGGGATGACAGCGAACGCAATGATGCACCACCAACAAAGGATACAAGTAAGTTAACTGATATGAATACTTTAATGTTTATAGTCTCCAAAAGAACGTATTTTAATATGCAAATTTGATATACAGACTATGACAAGGGATATAGAGTTAATATTTTCATTTATTAATATCTTTCATATTTCCTGTGGAAAGTCTCCTAACTTCTGATGGAGCAGGGTGAAAAATTTTAAAGGATCCTCAGGTAAACTCCAAATACGCAAATCACATCTAAGAACATCTACAGATTTACCCAGTCATATCTGCTGTAGAGATGTACCCAAGTTAAATAAGTTAAACAAGGAAACCGAGAAAAACAAAACACACATGTCAATAAGTTCCATCATTTCACCAAGTAATGATGAAACATGATGTGCTTAAATTAAATAGATTTTTTTTCAAAGAACTGGTTATTTTCACAGTTTACATCTGATAATCAGGGAGGTCAATGGTTAAAGTACATCAGGAATATTCTTCACAGGCCTAAGTTTCCTACAGGCTCTGAGGTATATTGTCCAGACTTCTGATGAGCCACAGTGATTTCTAAGTTTGAAAGGAACAAAATGTTTGTCTGCTGAACAGAGCATTGAAAAAAATACACACATTTCGGGTGTATCTGATCTAAACTTCCAAAAATAACTGATGATTCAGCAAGACCACTGGAGCATCAGTCACCACAAAATTTTTCATCTAGGTTAGTTATTGCCAAATAGCATCTGTCAACAAGCCCCCATCAAAAGCAGAACAAATCTGTAAGAACACCAGAGCCTCTACTCACAGACAAGCATAAAAACTGTTGCTTTTGAAACACCGACATTGTTTCACAATCATTTTCCATTTGCTACTTTAACATATGACAAACAAGATACTAAATCAAAAGGCAAATGGGGCACAACTCTAAAGTCTAACAAATGGTAATATTTGTAAAGCTAAAGCTGAAAATCTCAGTTCCATTCTATGCAGTACCTCTGTAAGAAGAGAAGAGTTAGGCTATTACACATACTGAGTTGCCTTCCCACTATTAACTGGTTACTTCCGTAACTCTTCACTGGTGTCAGAAGATCCTATTTTACCACACAGCGATAATGGACTACCCAGCAGTATGACACTGCTCTCTACTACAGACAGACCAATTTGGAAGCTAACCAAAAATCTCACAATACAGAAAACAGAGTAGAACAGATAGCAATGGTGATGACACTGGACTGTAAAACCATGTGTATTTTAATATTGCTGTCATCCAGGATTAATGCAAAGCAGAAATGTCTGATTACTAATGTCTATGAGGAACAGGAGAAGCCATCAATGGGCTTAAACTGCATTAGAAAAGATACAGTTTCTCTCACTACTTAAAATAACAGCTATAAAAAAATTCAGTGAAAAACTGGAACGGATTGCCTAAAGTACTTACATAAACATCATTGCTGGAGTTTTTATAAAAAAGATTAGACAAAATAGCATCTAGGAGTAACACAGAATATACATGACCCTGACAGAAATGCTCCAACACAATATGCTCACTGCCAGATGTTTCTCCTGCATGGATTTCTCCTTTCAAAAGAATGGTTCTAAAGATGACATTTAACATGGCCACAGAGTTACAGTCATCATATTCGCAATACTCTAAGCCAATTCAAGAATGAAACTGAAGTAAGATCGATAAATAGCATTTCAAGACATGCTTTGATAAGAACATAATATACACAGGGAAATTATGCATAATAAAAAATACAAAACTCCAAGAAGTTCAGAATATTAAATCTTTTCTGAACTTGATATCAATAGAATTTGTAGAAAAAAAAGAAATTCTATTTATGGGAAATTTTAGAAGATACTAAAGAAAATTCTATTTTGAATATTCAAGCTGAAGTTAGATGAATAACTTTTAACTGTCTGCTCAAAATAATTTGCTTTCAGATTTACCTACTTGTCTGCTCTGTGTGTGTTTAAGCGGATCAGTGTACTGTGAGGAAATAGACATTGAAGCCGTACCCCCACTGCCGAAGGAAACAGCGTACCTTTATGCACGATTTAACAAAATAAAAAGGATAGCAGTCTCAGATTTTGCTGACATTAGTAAGTAACGTTCAAATTTTATTTTCTGTTTACCTGATAGCATATTTTAAGTTGTTGTCCCTCAATAGACTGCCCAGATTACCAAAATAAGGTACATTTTATACTTTGCTAGATTTCTTTATGTATGTTACTTAATTCAATACTTGTATTAGAACAGGAACTATGAAAGCAATATGGAAACCCATTTTGGCTGATGTATCCATCTTAATATTTCCACACAATCACAGAAAAAGAGCAGATCACTAAAAATAAAATTTAACTCTGCATTCCAGCCAGTTTTGAGTGATCAGGTATTATTTGTCCTTCAAATGTTCCGGGGAGATCTCTCCCAGCAATGTCACTCTACAACATGACAAACCCTATGAACGTGTGAAATCATGTTGCCTCTAAGAAAAGGAAGGATCCAGAGTATTTTTCTTCTTATTATTATTTTTTTAATTTAAAACCATGAGGAAATCTAGATGTGGATTTTATTAATATTTTAATAATATTTAGATTTGTAGATCACAATTAGGATGGTTCAGCCAACAGTGTAACATTTAATACACACAACCATACATGTTTCACATGCCATATAATTACAAATACAATACTTAGATTTTCATTTCTTTTGTGTAAAGCTACCTTGAGAAGAATTGATTTTAGTGGAAATAGGATAGAAGAAATAGAAGACGGAGCCTTTTCAAAGCTTCTGTTATTGGAAGAACTTTCTCTTGCTGAAAATCGACTTCTAAAACTTCCTGTTCTACCTCCCAAACTAACAACATTTAATGCAAATCAAAACAGAATCAAGAGCAGAGGAATCAAAGCAAATGCTTTCAAGGTGAGCAAAAGACAAAAATTTAAGTAACCAAAGTAAATAAAACTAGTAACCAGACTATTCATTATACCAGTAAATGAATTTTTCTGTATTTTTGTAATCTAAGAAACAAACTATGATGAAGCTTTCCAGCTTTTGTTTTGCTTTTAAGGCACTTTAGAGTAATAGCCCTTTGTGTACTCACTCTCTCATGTTGTCCAGGTAAACAATTTTTCTATGAAATATCTTAGCTACTTCCTTTCTCTCCTACATGCAAAGAAAAGGCTCAAATACAGTCCTGAGAACCATATAAATACTAATAAACAAAGATATAGATTTACAGTGGTCTCAAGTTATATAACCAATAAGCTGACACTGAAATTTCCAAAACATAGAAGGCCTGTTCTAGGGGTTTCTTGATAAAATAGAATTAAACTTTCACAGCAAAAGAATGTTTCATGATAGATCGCTTTACATGCTTTCTATGGGATCAGGAAAAAATACTGATGTTTTGTAACAGGCACAAGTTATTTAACCTCAAGTAAGAAATACCAGCATTAATAATCTCTCTTTCTTTCTGTTAGAAGCTGACAAATTTGGCCTACCTCTACTTAGGACACAACGCACTGGAATCTGTTCCCCTTAACTTACCAGAAAGTCTGCGTATTCTTCACCTTCAGGTATTTTTGAAGTATTTCCTTAACATTCTAGGATGAAGACCCTCATTAGTTACACACTTCAAACCAAACCCACTGTCTTTTAAAACCATTCACACTGTACTTATGCTGCAGTTGTCTAATGCTCCTCCAAATAAAACTATTTACTTCTAATCTGTATGGCCACAACCATTCAGTGTTCCAAAGTTGTTTGTTAGCAAGATTTTCTCATTAGTTTCTGTATATCAAGGACAGGAAATGGTAAAAATAAGCAATACTCTTTTCTCAACAGCACTTTTCAAACTTCAGTAACAACCTCAAACTGCTTATCAGGTCATTGATTTCTTTGAAGAGACTCGATTTGTACATAACTGTAGTATACACAAATAAATCCCAATGACAACAAAACAGGAGGGTTAAGAGGAATAAATTTAAAGATTGAAAATTCTTCAACATGTATGAGTGTGTGCGCATATATATACACGTGTATTTATTTTAAAAATCTTTTTGTTTTGCAGTACAACAATATTACTACAATCACCGACGACACATTCTGCAAATCCAATAACACACGTTACATCCGCACACGTATGGATGAGATAAGGATGGAAGGCAATCCGATCCTCCTGGCAAAGCATGTTAATGCTTTTTCCTGCTTGAGAACACTGCCTGTAGGAACATACTACTAGCCACTACCTGCATAATTATACATGTCAAAACCTTAACATGGTAACAGAAGATCATTCTTTTTCCCCTGTTTACACGTTTATATCCTCTCCCTTACTAATGCTATTCTCCCTGCATACCCAGAACCTTTTACTATGTTGAAATGTGGTTCTCCTTTGAGATAACCATTTCAAAACAGCCACTTTATTTCAGTAGTTACAATGTCACCCATGCTTTCAGAATCTTTTCTCTTAATGGAAGTGTAAAAATAAATATATGCACACACATATCTCCTCAGCTTTTATTTGACCCCGTGTTCTTTACATGCAGGTAAAATCACACAAGCAGCTGCTTGTTCACATTCTTTCGCAATAGTACTCAGATCAATCACTACATTTTACTTTCAAATAAATGCAAAACATTCTTTGAGCAAGCTACAGAGGAAAAATATATCTAAATTTCAATCTGAAACTTTGTCAGTTGCCCTTCAAAAATGTACTGGATGAAGTTGCATACAAAAGGAAGTTATGTTTAGAAACAGAACTTCTCAAATCTTAACTTCATTAAATCTTCCTTAAAAGCTTGGTTTGTGGAAAATGAGAATAATTCCTATTTAGTCTTAGTGTACCAAGCAACATAGCAAGAGGAACTTGTCAAAGATTTAACAAATCTCCTAGTACTCTGCTTTCAAAATAACCTAAGAGAGTGTGTGTATATATTTTATACATGTATTTTATTTTTTACACAAGGTATTTTCAATTGAAATACATAAATTTTGCTCAGCTGTACACACAGGAGTCATTATTGCAACACCAGCTTCCCATTTTAATAAACAGCCAAAGTACAGCATAGTATGACACTGAGTATCTTCGATATTAACAGACAATGTAAACCAAGCCTTGCTCCTCTCCTTTGAGGAAATGTGAAAATATAATTAACAGGAAAGCTGAATTAATGTTTTTACCTGTAAATAAGTAAGATTTCATCTAAATGTCAGTGCAAAGAAACAGAAGTACTCTTGTACAACTTCCACTCATTAGGGAAAAAAATCAAAGCAGATCGTAAAATTGAGAAGTCGATTCTGTTATTAATCTAAAAATAGCATTAACTTCAAGAAAATTAAACTAGCATAATTTTATTCAACTACTTTAAACCATGAAGCATATTAAAAACACAAAATTATGTGTGCAGGCCTCACCAGTCAGATTACCTAAAACTAGACATAATTGATACAGGACACAATGTTTTTAATTATACAACTATACATTTTTGACATTTCATTTTCCGTTTCTTCCCTCAAATACCTACCGCAGGAATAAACTCTTCAGCTAAATGAATGTCAGAAGTGTGCTAGTTACTATTACCAGATCAACTTTGTATTAATTTTGAAGCTAGTATAGATTCCTAATTTGTAGAAATAGTTGAGTGTCAAATGCATGATGATGTATCACTACATCTAGAATACTGATTGTTACATGATATTTTGTAATAGTTTTGTTTATCTTATTTAGCTAAGCCTCGATTTGTTACTGCTTGTGCTATGGGGAATTAAGTGCACACTTAACTCTGAATGTACTGATGCTCTGCCATTAAGAGTGTTGAGACCTAAGTGACTTTCAGTCACATTTAAGTAACTATGCCAAGCATCAATTGTGGGCTCATCTTTCTGGAAAGAGGATGCAATTATGAAATGCAGGACAAAAATATTTTTGGCCATAACGCATTACCCAAGAAAGACACAGCAATCCCCAATATTTGCCATTTTAAGTTATTTAGTATAACAAGAAAGACATTCCACTGTCTTAATACAACTGAGAGCAAAACCAAGTCTGAAAGTTAGAATAATACTTGGTTTTCATTTTCCCATGTAAAGCATAAAACTTGGATGTTTCCGGGTTTTTAGCAAGAGATGAAAAATAACCCCAAAGCACATAAAAGTATGTGCCAACTTCAAGCCAAATGTATAATAGGAAAAAATAAAAGCCACCAATTCTCTCATCCCTCTTTTAATAAATGCCTGAGATGGAGAAAATGCAACTAGAAGTGTAAGTGTAATAATGTTATGCACACAGTGGTTCCTGATCTTATTCTCATCGCAAACCATTATTACTAAAACTCTTCCCAGTATTAATAGGATCAGTATCACCCAAACTCTACTTGTGAAAAAAATTAAAATGTGCATACATATACATGTAGCATATACACATGTAAACATTCTATGACCTAACCACTACCACATTATTAATTTTGCATTAGTGTTGTATATATTTTTGAAAAAGTACTAAATATCTACAGTTACACTAATTAACACTCTTAAGATTTTGTGAGCAAATCAAAGTAGACAACTGGTACCTTCTGAAAGCCTCATGCAGGCAATAAGTTATCTGATATGTTTTAATTTACGTTCCCCATTCATAGCAAGTTAACTCATCAATACATTAAGTGAGAAGGGCTTCAGTATGCAGGATTTTTTTGCCTTCTATTTGTGTGACCAGTACTAATATCAAGCTGAATGTACACTATTCTATTTTTCCCTATTACTCACTTCTGTTCTGTATTTCCAATAAAACTTGAATATTTTTTTCTTGTTTATCAATATCAGCTTCAACAATCTGCTTAATAGCAATGCCAATATGCTTTAGTTATTCAGCCTCATAGCAGACTAAGAGGGCATCTAGATCAGAAAATTATTTGCAGATGTAAATCCATTTTGTAGACATAATACTTATCGTGGCAATGTAGTAAGACCTGACATACAAGCACTACCTTGTAGATTTTCTCAGTACAATAGAGGAGCAGCAGCAGAGGGTAGTAACTGTATGCTCAACTCTTGATTGTGTGAGGCATGCAAGTTGTAGACTAACCTATTTCACACTAACCACAACTACTAAAGCACAATGTCAGGGAGTATAACATGCAAAGCACAGAATGCTTACAACTGAACATTGCTCTACTCACACCAACCTAAACCTGTCCCTGCCTTCAAGGAAAGCCTGCTTCAGTCAATGGGTATGTTAAATTGCTTTTTTTACTTAATCCAAGTTGCCCATCCCACCATTACTCTTGTTAACTGGGAAAACTCTCACTACAAAACTGCCATTTGTGACAGTCAACTTTTTAGAAATACAGGGCTGTCCAGCTTTGCTTGAACCTTGCAGTCGCCATTCATTTCAAACATTCATTATTATTTGAAGTACTCAATCACTTCTACATTATTCCTTTCTTCTCAAGTATCAGAACTAACAGAAAAGAAAAAATAATGTACCTTTCCTGTTCTACACTACACTGTGAGAAAACTATTAGAAGCACTATTTCTACTTAACAGCCTGAGTAATTTTCTTTTAAATAACAAAATAAAAGGTATAAACCCAGAACCCCAAACCAAATAGTCTTCTCTCCAATACTGTGCAGTTATCTGCCTATATATTTGGGGTCTAGCAAGCAGGTAGAAAAAAAAAAAAAAAACAAAAACACACACAACAAAGATTACAGACTCATTTTTTTAATGTTATCCACATGTGAATATTAACAGGATAACATTCTTCACTTGTCTTTATGCAAATGTTAAAAGCATACTTCTAGTTGCTTTCACACAAATTACTACAGAATATTAAGTTACAAATACACATTCTCCTTAGAAACCTGGTTATTTGAGTTGTCAGATTCTTTGAACCCTTTATTAATTCTCTCACCTCAGAAAGTCTTTTCTTTCTAAATTAAATTATTAGTAATGCTAGCAGAAATAAGAAGGTCTAAAAACTCTTCATAAATCCATAGTCAATTATATTTGATAAATATTATCCCAGATTGGTTTGCCTTTCTCAACAGTGTTTTTGTTCATGGAAAGAAAAATACCTTTAGAAAGAATATTTGTAATATATGTCTTCAGAGACTTCATCTTCACACATCTTTTAGCAATGAATATATCCCTTCATTGTTTACACCCAACGTCTGAACAAATACTTTTTAAAACTGCTTAAGATACACACAATTTAAAAATAATCTCCAGACCTGTTTCCTTTTTATTTTTCCATTTCTGTAATGAATTTTAACATGAGAAATATTTACAGCAGTTCACTGAATCACTGTCCCAAAAACCACAGTGACTGCTGTCATGAGGCTAATCTAAAGATCAGAAAGCATCAAGTGAAATTGGAAAAAACAATCAAAAACCCCCACACCACAAAGCCCTCTATGGAGGGATTACAGAAAAGTACTTATACAACAAGCAGGATTAGACAACATCAGTTTATTACTCATTTGAGGACAGGATAATTTTCTTAGCATTATCAGAAATTAGTACTTTGTTTTCTTTAATATGATTAACTGATAATATAAATTGATTAATCTAGCACAGAACTCAGGTCTAAAAGATTCAAAAAATAGGAAACAAAGCAGTTCGCACTTCCTAGTACAGCAAAAAAGCAAAGATGGTGCTGAATTTAATGACCGTAAATGCTTGGGCTAAATAAAACTGAACTAAAAAAGCCACACAACTTAAGCAGCTAAACATCCTCCTCTGACATTAATCATCATATAAGATGTTCAGTGTGTGTAAGACTGCAGTATTTTTACTCCAAGGAATAGTTGTTTATCTCAAAACCAGTACAAAGTGAACAAGCCAAATATTGGTAATTTAAAACTAAAGTCAAATAAACTGTTCCTCACTCTTAGCTGGAACATAGTATTTCCCATTCAAGTAAAATATTTCAGAACTGAAAGTGCTGTCGCCCAAACACATGCTGCCACATTGTCAAGAGAGACAGATCCAGTCCTTCAGAACTAATATTTAAATGCCAGTCTACAAATGTTATTTTAATTTCTTCTCGTGCCTTTTTTTTTTTGTTCAAAATGAAATGTAGTACCAGTGAAAACTGTCCTACTCCCCCAAGACATAAATATTCTTGTTTTCCCCCATGTATGAGGAACACAGCACGAACATGGTAAAAATCACGACAAATACCAAGCAAATGCATTGCCCCTTGAACACAACACAAAAATCTTTACCTAATACTCTCTTCTCCACAACATACAGAATTAAGATTGCCATAAAAGAACTCCACTAATTTCACCTCCATTGCTTTGTCTTAGTGAACTACTTAAAGAACTAAATATAGTACTGATATATAAAGGCTTGACAGACATTACCTTGAAATGTTGGAAGGTGCATCTACGATGTTTATACCACTCGGCATAAGACAAAAGGCTTCTGAAAAATGCTAAAAGATCTCCACGTTCTTCAGTGCTACAAAAGGAAAATATATTGTTTAACGCAAACAGTCCCACTCAGCCACCCAATTCTATAGACTAAAATTTGCACTTTCTCCTTAAAGAATTTGTGATTAGTATTGTTCAAATTTTAAGCCAGAATTCACAAAAAAAAAATATTCTGACAGGAACAAAAAGCTAGTGTAGGTATTGAAAAAAAAAAATGAAGAATTCATTTATAAACCAGTGTTTTCAACTCCTCAGGAAGGTAAACAGCAAAAAAGTTAGTCTTGTGTGTAAAATGTGATAACTTGACAAAGTAGTCACCAGTAAAATCTTAGTCTGATTTTAGCTTGCTCATCTAATACTCTTGTTTCCTAAATAAATTGGTAAGATATATCAAATTGCATCTCTAAGCTTCAAATATCCCCGAGATCTCTGTCCTAGTCAACTAAATCTTTGCATGACATGTCATCTGCCTCTGCCCACAACATCCAGTTTTTCAAGATTAACCTTGAAGCTTCAGTAAGCAAGAAGGCCTGTGTATTAGATCATACATGTCACCTAAAACAAAACTTTTGATATACAGTTAAATTTTATTTATCTGCTATTAAGGAAGATAGTGATATTCTCAATAATTAGGGAGTGGGGCAGGACAGGGGAGAGAGATGACAATAAATCTGTGACTGAGAAGCGAAGCACAAATATCTTGGTGCCAAGCCCATTGTAAGCAGAATTAAGAAGCCTGCATGGAGCTGAGCTGATTCTTGTAGAACATGTCTCAGTATTTCTGCAGATTTGGGCTTGTCATGATTTAGCAATTCAGCTACACATTGGAACATTATGGCTTCATTGATATCAATGATCCTACACTTGCACTAATAAATTGTCTTGGAACCTGATGTCCTGCAACAAGAAGTGCAGACACACCTTTGCTGGACTTGCACTTAGCCAGGATGGATCTGGTAGAGCTCGCAGCCTATATCATGAGACAAACATATCGGTGCTACTTTGGGAAAGAAATAATTCAATTGCAACATTATTGCAAATACCAGTTTTCCATCCATGGTGCCTCTAAAGACAGAAAGGTCATCAGGAGTCATTTTACTTTCTGGCATTTCTGATGAATTCTCTTTATTTCTCTTATGCTTTGTCTCTTGTACTGAAAAGTTCCTATAGTTTTGGTTTTGTTAGTTTCAGGGTAATTGCACAGCATCAAGTGAAAATGTTTATGTACAATGATTCCATGATTATTATAAGATTTCTCCATTTCCAATGAAAATAGTTAACAGAGGCAACAATACACAGTGACAGCTAAACCTAAGAGATGACAATTCCAGGACTTTGGTGCTAAAGTCAATGCAAGCAACACTTAGAAGAAATATAAACAGATTTTGCACTTAGAACATAAGGAAGTTTATTTCCTTCATGTACTTGTTTCACACACAAAAAAGTAAAATCATTTAAGTTTCAATGTAGTTTAAAAATTAAATATTCACATTATCTAAAGAATCAAACAGAAGCTTCCGCTCCCAAAAGAACAGCAAATATTTTGAAAAATGTAATGGAAATTACTGCTGAAGTAATTTCCAAAGAAGTTCCAAACACTGCACAAAGTACAGAATCGAGGAAAGCTACATGGCTGACTCATTATTGATTCTTGCAGATGGGGAAAAATACACACAGTTTTGAAAATGAAAGCTGCTCTTGATATGCTGAGATGATTACTCCTACTGAATAGTGTAGCAAAACATCAAACTGATACCAATGAATAACATACCGCACTAACGTGGACTGAGAGGTATCATTTATTTTTCATCAGCCTACAAGGCTGTAGTGATTTTGCATGTAAGAGAAGTTGCAATGCATCAAACACTGGGGCTGGTATGTTCCTTTATGTCATGAAATTTGATTTACAAAGAAATTTGCTAGAAGTGATACACTTTTCTACTTCAGTAACTGGCACTAAAGTTACTTTATTTCATAATACATTTACTATTTTGTCCTCCTAGAAATACTGTGTTAGCTTGTATGTCAACTACGATGTATACAATCAAAACATTTTTAGTAGAAGTACACCATTACATTCACTCTGAGACAGCCTGAGAAGGCTGGCAACAACAGAAGAAAGGAAACCAAGGCACTGGAAATCAGTTATATGCAAAAATCTGCCTTAGAACAATTAGGATTAGAACCATTTGAATGAAGAAATCTAGCCACTTAAAATAAATGCCATCACAGTAAAGAGTTTGTAGACATCAGGAACTGAACAGACTTATTGTTAGCACCACAGTGACCACAACCATTAAAGCATATATACAGGTTCTCAGCTCTAATCAAAAGAGGAAATAGACAGTCCATCCACTGTTACAAGGGATAAATATATTAAAGACAAATCAGAGAAAATTGGAGAGCTGGTTTGGGGCAGGGGAAGAAAAGTTTGTCTTGGAGGGGTTTCTTTTTAAGGAAAAACAAAAATCATTGTTTTTCTAATTCGTAATAGTATAAGCATCAGGATAGAGAAAGGAAAGGAGACAATACAAGATGATGGAAACAGCCAAGTAGCCAACCATCAGACAGTGCTGTCGGGGGAGGGAAGAAAAATGTTCATAAAAGGTGTCCAGTTTTTAGTAAGGAAATGTAGCAAGAATGCAAAGAATGCAAAATTCCACAAAAGCTGAGTGTCAAAATACCTGAAGCAACATGATTCTTTAATCATAAGGGTGAATGGCTTCATGTTGTTGTTGGTACGAAGCCACAGTCAAATGAAACAGACTATTAGCCATTGTCAAAACATACGAGGCAAACACTGCTTCAAAAATACAAATATTTATTTGCTAATACAGGATTTTACAAGCTTACAAAACCTGACTAAGATGCTTGACTTAAATTTAGGAATATTTCAAAAAGTTACAGAGGATGTAACTTCTACCTGTAAATTTTACTTTTAACATCCTTTCCATTTGAGATTAGCTACTCTTTTTGGATTTTTAGAACAGGTGAGATCAGAAACTTGAGACCATTAACAGAACGGATGCAACAGTATATTTACCAAGTCACTTCAGCCATTCAAGGGAGAACTGTGCCTCATATCCAGCTCTATTTAATACACAGGAATAGCAACCCTTAACATGTTACACAAACAAACTGGAAAAAATACATGAAGTTCATTCAGATATTGAAAAATTAAATGAAAAGCCAAACAAGTTCTATCCTAGTCTGGAAAGAACAACATCACTAAAGGAAGTTGTCACAGTAGTCACAGCTGCCAACAAAATCAGGCCAAGATGAAAAAAATGCTGGCAGCACACACAAAACTGAGCCCCTGGAAGGACATGGACACATACCAATTTAAAAGCTGACTAGCTGTATGTTCTGGACAGTTTTTTTTAACCACAACTCGTAATTGTACATATAAAAATCTGCACATACTATAGTAAAAATCAAGACTTAGTAAAGACTGCCCACACCTGTCTAGTGAACATGCTTCTACACATACTATAATATGCTTTGTAAATCTGCATACATAGAAGATAGCAACACAAAACCTGGTTACAAAACAACCCACTTAAAATTCTTTTCAAAATAACTTGGCAATTTTGACAAGTATCCACTTCTATGAAATTTAAAAGACTATCAAAAACCTTGTGACCTTGTTTTAGTATTCTGTCTCTAGTTCCTCTCAGATTCATCTTTAAGCAATAAAACAAATGAAAATTTTCTCAGCTAGATCACCACGCAGAGATAGTTTTGGCTAACAAGTTCAAAAAAACGGTTTCAAATGTAAAAGTTAGTCTACGAATTATACTTGAGTACATACTTCTTTCATGTACAGATATAGCACTGGCTAAATTTAAGATAGAAAACTAAATTTAATGTTCAGAAAGGGGGAAAACCTGTGTTGGCATGAACAGACATATGTAATATACGTGCTTTTTTGTATTGGCAAGGGACAAAGAGACTGCATATGAGCACCATTTCAGTTAGCTGTCTCACAGCACTTAAACTACCCATAAACAATAATTCCTAATTAGTTTAAATTAGTCTAATTCCTCATGCTGAAGCCAACTACAACAAACACTAAAATACCAAGAAAACTTGTTATAAAATAACAAGGTACTAACAGAGTACCTGTTAAAATTTGAGCCTTTTTTTTTTTTTTGGGGGGGGGGGGGGGTTGGAAAGAATTTAGCATTACAAAATGTCACCAGATCTTTTTAAAACCCACTAGGAACAGAAAACACCCATCTCAAAAGTCAACATCCATGTAATAGAGAAATCATCCAAAACCAGCAAAAAGCATATTCAGGCAGAGAGTAACTATGCATCACGTTAAAATCACATGCCCTTCATCCAAACACCATTTCACTTTTACAGACTAACATCAAGAAAACACAAAAGTATATATGAAACAACTGTTGTAAAAGTATTTGAGGCTCCTTGAATACGCTCCTTTAATTATTTTAAGAGGGGAAACCTATTTTAACTCACTGCAGTATGCAAGACTTCTTGCATTAGCATATAAACCCAAAGAATTACACTTGCAGCTGTGGGAAAAATTCATGCTTCCCCTCACTTCCAAAATACCTAGCCCATGCAGTGCTTAATGTAATGCAGACATTTCATAAATCCTTCACTCTGACTTATAAATTCTAATTAGTTAGAAAAAAGTAAGAGCAGTTTTTGAACTGTCTAAAAACTCCTCCTATTTAAGTAATCTATCCAACAGTTAACTAACCCAACATTTAACGGGATATCAAGCAAAAACATTCACAAACTTGCAACAAGATTTCTCACAGATATTCTGGTCCTCAACACTACTGAAGCACAGCACAATTGATAACTGGTGCAAAGGGGACTCAAGTAAAATCCAAAAGTAGAAGACTAAATTTTGTGATTCCATATGCATATACATTTTATTGTCACAATGTATTTAAGGAATGGTACATGTTTTTAAAAAATAGGTATTATATATTGCAATAGTGCCTGGTTGAAAATAAACTGCTGAATTTTGCTTCTTTTAAAAACTTGTTGCTCAAGTGTTCTAGCATTCTTCCCTCTTCTTCCAAAGCAGGATGGGCTTGAGAATTACATCTGAATGCCAGGTTTTTAACTCTGGTGCTATTAAAAGACCCTTTTCTGTCATGCATGATGAAAAATGAAGCCAAGAAAATTAGAAAGCTGAATAGGAAAAAATCCAGTCCAGTAGGGAAAACAGAACAGGGCTAGACAATGGATTCGGCAAGACTGGGCCCAAGGAAGCAAAACAAGCAAACAGAAACCAGTAGGGAGACTGAAAAGAATGAATAATACAGAGGGAGACCATATTTAGCTGGTCAAGAATGGATGAAAAGAGAGAGAAGAGGGTAGGAATCAAGATTCTAAGAGCAGCTGGTAGACTGAAGAATACAGGGCTACTTGGGAAAAGCCTGAAACTGGACATGAAAAGAGAGCATTAGGACTTAGAGTAAGAAATGAGAAGTAGCTTAACAAGGGGATTGAGAAAACAAGCCATGAAGGGAGATCACAATCAGATTAAGCCCATCTAACATTGGGTTGCTGTCAATACAGATGTGAACATCAGGCCTGTTCTGGTCATATATTTACTGCCTTAGATCAGCAACAAACAGTGTGACATTGCAGGAGAAGTCAAACAGAAAAAATGAAATTTAAAGGGTTTGGGGGCAAATTACTTTTTCAGCCAAATTACTACATTGAACATACCGGCCCCATGGCTTCAAGAGTATATACACTGATGCTAGGCCAACAGATGGTACACGCCAATAGAAGCTAAAGAGAATGAACTATTGCTTTATTGCAGCAAAGCCTTAATGCCTCTTATACCATTCATGAAAACTTATGTTTACTTATGAATACTGGTATAATGTGGAAAAAGACAAGAGTAGTGAAGAGACGGGGACAAGACAACAGTGCTCAAGCCAGGATGAAATAAAGTCTGCCACTACTTAAACACATTTCTTTCCAGTATGACTATTAAGTTCCAAGACACTTCTACTGTCAGAAAATAGTAATGAAAAAAGCAGGGTAATTTCCTCTTCTAAATACTGCTTCTTGAAAGCAGACAACTACTATTCTCAGTTATACCACTAGCTTTAGTAGATTTATGTGGAAATTCCAAAGTCTATAAACAAAAATTTCAGCTTTTAGTACAGACGACTAATGAAGCCTGAGGTAACTCAGTAAACCTTTCTTTTCACCCGTCCATTTGCCTTCCCTCTCCCTCCCCAAGTCTAAAAAAGTAATATAAAACAGAAGAATTCTCTTAAAGAACAGGATTAAGTCAACTACCCAATAATAATTAATAGATTTGTTCTCAGATTCGGTTGCTAGCAGATTTCACAGTGGAATACTACAGACAAATAATTCGATCATTATTCATTCTGTGTACCACAATAAATTGACATCCTCCAGTAAATAACCAAAAAGTAGCACTCAGTCATATGCTGAAGTTTTAGTCTGTACATTTTCTTAAACCATTGCACAAATACACTATTCTAGGTTTTTAAGCTATATTCTGTTGTTTTTGAAATATCAGTGAAAGGAAATTCTAATGCAAAGAAGAGAAACGGAATAGTGAGCAGAGAATTAGAAATAAACAAGTTCTGGATGTACACTTTAGCCATTACTCACCAACAGCACACATCTACAACTCAAACACCTGACTAACAGTTAACATGCTGATTACATAAATTAAAACACAATAGCTGAGATTATTTGGTTCAGAAAAAAAAAATATAACAAGGTAATTTGAAATAGCTAAAACACACAATCCCAAAACTGTTTCTTTTTAGCATGAATTCATAATGGTTCCTTTCAGGCCTTAAAAATTATGTGTGTCCTGGTTTCAGCTGGTATAGATCTCATTTTTTCATCTTGGTACGTAGAATAGTGCTGTGTTTTGGATTCAGTATGGTATTTGGTATGAGAAGAATGTTGATAATACAGTGATGTTTTCAGTTGTTGCTGAGAGATCTAGGACTTTTCAGCTTCCCGTGTCCTGCCCGTGTTCAGGTGCACAAGATGCTGAGAATCCCTCCCAGCCAGAGCAAAAGACCCAAACCAGCCAATGGAATATTCCATATCATATAATGTCATGCTCGGCCCATATATTAAGGTTGATGGGGACACTATCTCGCCTCCCAGATGGCAGTTTTGGGATTTTCGCTCCTCTGGGCTTGCTAGCCCGTAATGGGCTGGGCAACAGTTGGTGCGTGGTGAGCAATCACATTGTGCATCACTCATTTGTATCTTCTATTATTACTATTATCGTTATCATTACTATTTTAATTTTATTTTATTTCAATTATTAAATTGCTTTTATCTCAACCTACAAGTCTCCTTACCATTATCCCTCCAACTCTCTCCCTTGTTCCCTGGGGTGGTGGAAGGGGAGCGAGCGGCTGCGTGGTGTTGGGCTGCCAGCCAGGTTCAAACCACAGCTATGCATTTCACCTCCCCTTCAGAGGGATATAGACAAGGTGCCAGAAGTGTTTAGGTTGGGCTAACAGTACATTACCAAACAAAGAAACTGACTGTCAAAAATTTATATGAAAACTCAGTATTGCATTTAGTATCATATATCCCATAAAATAACTTTCCTTAAACACAGAACTCCAACTTACCTTGACACAAACTTGCTCACATCTGAATCTTCTCCAGATTCCATTATAACACTGAGATCAGTAACAACAATAGACACATTCTCTTTGTTCTAGATTGGAGAAGTAACAACACAATATTTTAGAAATTTCTCTAGTGAGGAGGAACAAAATGTAACTATCTGTATATTAAAATTGACAAAAAATATGCAAATGATGTTAAGTACTATAATCCCTAAAATAATATTTTTTAAACTACAGTTTATAAGTGTGGCCGTTTCCTTTCATTTTGACAGTATCAGTACTATCCATAAAACAAGGCTTTTGGAATAATACCTGAACTTGTCAGCATAGAGAATATATATATGTATAAAGGAAGAGTTATGAATAAGAGGTTCATCTACTTTCTTTCAGGTCACTTCCACTTCTTTAAGATGGTTCTAATTTTCCAACACAACCCCTAGCTGCCACATACACAAGGAAACTCAAACATAAAGTTTCATTTGAAAAGCATAATGCTACATTAAATTAAAAAAAAAAAATTCCAGTTAGTTTGCCTTTTATTTTTTAATTTTAAAGCCAATAGTTCTGCCTCAAAACCTTGTCCCTTTCTACAACAGTACTCAGGGATATGTGCATGATAATGAAAAGAAAATGTTTCCAAATTAAAATACCTAACAACTTACTAGAGAAATGAGAAAAGAAGTTCATATAGTAGAAATGAAGGCACAAAAAAACTCGTTTCTTTTCTCTATGCATTCTTGAACACACCAGAGTAATAGGTTAGATAATAGTGAATGAAAAAGCCTAAAATCACAGCTTGGAGACCATAGCAAATGCTTCACTTAATACTGGAGACTATGCACTTGATTTTTCTTATACCCAGTCACTACAAGTGAATGGGAATGGCAACACAGAAGAAACTAAATAGATAAGCTAGAGTCAAATGCACACAGCAACCCTAGTATTGGCTGGACAGACGACTGCCAACACTGCCGTCACTAAAGATGGAAAAAGCAAGTCAAGACACTACAAAGTTTAGTGGACTGATTAAGTAACATCAAGAAAAATTATTTCAAATTTAGAGCAAAAGGTTCAACATGTGCATGGAGAGAAGCTGCTAGTAGTCACAAGCTAACATGCTACCTTCTGAAGAAACTGGTTTTCCAACAAGTGGGTTACCAACATATGCCAAGATGCCACTTTGGGGTCAAATAAAAAGATTTAAAATCAAAGCTCCTGTGAAGAAAGCAGCTCTTATTTAAATGACTGCTTTCTCAAGAGGTTTAGACTTGTTTTGGCAGATTTTCAACCTAATTGTACACATCTTCTCCTAATACCCAAGGATAGTAAGAGGGGACAACAAATAAATCTAACAATGCGTTTGCATTAACCTGTTTTCTTCATCCACATTTTAACCTTTGTAAGCATCCTCCTATGCACAATGAGTGCAAGCAAAGAAGCTCCCAAAACACTAGACAGCTTGGGAATATAAACCCTACGCTCATCTGACACTGTACCAAAACTAAAGAAACAGCTAGGATGTAGAATATGTCAGGCAGTGAGTGACCACTATGACAGTAATACAGACAATCTCAACCATTCAAAGTTAGTCAGAGTGAACTCAGATCCACCTACCCTGCCTTGTACAGCTATATCCTAGAATACAGCTTTTATCACGAACGGCATTCAACAATTTGTTTAAGATCAAATTAGAGATATTCACAAGAAAAAATTGTTATGGTGAATTAGTAGGTTTGATTTAAGTTACTGTGGAGCAGAGTTAAATGTATTGTAACTTAACTACTTGATTAAATAGCTAGAGTTAACAGTGTGAAAAAAATTATTATATTCTGCTGCATACCAATGCATTTGTCACTTAACTATGCATTTCCCCAAAGCAGCTGGCATCTTTCATTTCTCTAGATGGGTGAAACTAGTTGCAACTTTACAGGATCTTTCCCATGCTGGCGTCAGAATGAGTTATTTTAAACATAACTGTTAATGCTGTATATTAGAAAATAGGCTTCTCCATTCTTATATGCAAAAAGTTGCAAGTATAAAGAAGTTAAAGCTAAATTTCCAGGTCTTTGTCTGGCCTGAAGTCACAACTTCCCTGAAAGCTGTGGAGGCAGACTCCCCATAGAAACAACCAAGTAGAACTAGGCAAAATGTCTGAATGGAATTGTTAAGCAATCTAGTCATGAGATATGCTTTTTCATTATAATTAAATGGAAGAGTCATTTTTTATTCATATAAATTACAAAACTGTGTATTTTAAAAACACTCTCATTAAGCTGAATTTTTTAACTGCTAAATTCTCTCAAGATCTATGTTATTTAAACACCTGTAACAAAATGAAAATACAGAACTGTATGCAATGGTATTTTAAAGGGTATTTTACAACCCTAACGAAACTATTACATTGTGATTTGTACAATAGCTAAAACACATTAAACTAAATGCAAAACCTTTAATAACATTAAAGTACATATACAATCACAGAAACTGAGTGAAGGGACAGAAATTAGTCTGTGTTTGAAACTGTAAATGTACTTCTTGACTCATATATAACACCAAAAATAAAAAACAAAACCTGTATATTATAACACAATTAAAAACTGTACTCTTCACTGGTGCCTTCTTAACTAATTTTGCATTTTCCACAATACATCAACAACCCACACCATACAAATGCATAAAATACTGGCAATTCCAAGTTTATTAACTCAAGGTAAATTGATACATCATCTGCATTGGATATTATATTGTAAGGTACAGGTGCCATGTACCTTTAAATAAAAAAATAATTCATGCAAAAAATTAACTAAAAATTATCTTTTCTTTTCAACTGAAGTGTTTTTTTTTTTAAATATATACACTTGGCATTCCATGTATCGATCACTAGCATATCTGAGCAGCACTGAAGTTTCAGGCATTACGCAGACACGTGCTGACATCTGGCGGTGTAACAGATTTAAGCACCACCAACGCAACTGTAAGTAAACTTGACATCTAGTTACTCACCTGAGCTCCACTGACACTAAAAGATGTCATCTTTCTGCAGGAGCATACAGCTGAGAAATAAACATTAATCTAACCAAGTAGCATAACTGATTCAGGATATTTCCATGCTCAGAGCTAAATGTAGTCTTATACAAGCACGTGGTAAAATGTCACTAGGACCAGAAGTTTAATGTCATGCATGGATTTAAGAGGTTGCAGAATAACCTCATTCAGCTGTACTCCTGCAGTTTCAAATTATGCAACTCACATGTGACTACCTTGATACTCATTTCCTAAACTCATAATATGACTTTTCTTTAAGTTAGGCGGGACATCTTCACATAGCAAGGCAGTTTCTAATACTATCAGGTTCAATCACATTCAATTTAAAAAAAAAATCTTTTAAAGCTGAGCTGAAAAACAAGTCTTCTTGAGAAGGAAATTTCCTGATGTCAAAACTATCATTACAAATTGGGCGACATAATTACAAATTGAGGTAGCAGCTGTTTTTCACTGCTTATTATTTTGAATTCTATGCTAAGAATCGATTCTTATGAAGGAGCTTTCCTGCAAAAAATCTGTAATCATTAGTGCAACTTCTGTGCAGTTCCATGATGTAATGGCTTGTCACTCTAGTCAAGCAAATAGAAATACAGTCAAAGTTAAAAAAAAAAAAATATATGTTCATGTTTGTAGTGTTTTAAGCTTTTCCTCAGTTGCCTCAAGCGACGTAAGGTTTGGAATTTTCCAGTCTCCAGAACAAGATATCTGACTGTAGGAGAACATGATAAGAATTTTGCAATCAAATATTGAACCTGACCATCAGAACTATTTTGCTTGGATGCATATGGAATTCCAAAGCTGGGTCCAGCTGTTACAGAGTGAAAACAACCCACTGAGGCTTAGATTAGGACGACTCAGGCAATCAAAATGACAAAATACCAGTTGAAGGTTTCAGCTGGAGATGGAAATATTAACATCTGTACATCTGAAGTTTTTTTTGTTTGCTTGTTGGGTTTTTTTTTAAACGTACATTGATCCTTACCTGCATTTCAAGAAGCTGAAATTCCAACTGAAAAGACAGGGAGTGGCAATTCCCTGATAATCTGTGCTTCTGCACTGTTCTGGTTTTAGCTGTTATAAAATAAACAAAATATTAGATTATAAGTCTATTCAACAATTATTGAATTTCTTCCATTATTCGTAATTCAAGTATCAACTCATACCATCCATCATATAAATAACAAAGTCACATTAAACGTGTCGTGGGGAAAAAAAAAAATCCACACACAACTAACTTCAGGGTAGTCTTCCAGTTTCCCACTATGCAAAATACTGTATTTCCATAGAAACTGTTTTGGCAATAAAGAAAATTCTATCCTATCTCAAAATAATTGTCTTTCTGCTAACATGGAAAGTAGAAGTATAACGTGCATTTGCAGATGTAATGAACTGAAACAGTATGCTCAGTATAACAGCAAAAAAGAGCACAAAAATGCTTACTCTTTTCCATTGTTTTCTTGGAATGATTTGTGAAATGAATACCAGTAAATTTCATTAAAAATGAGAGATCTGCTTCTAGACTTTCAAGTTGAGCTTTCAGGTCTGATGGAGAATCACATCCCTTCAATTGTCTCTGAAATTCTCTCTGGAATAATTTTCTGGAATTGGGGGGGAAAAAAATCAAATCAAATCAAATGGGCAAAAGACACAGACTCTAGAACATGTTTTGTCACAGCAACACCATTAAATAAAAGACATCTGTAACGTGATGTGATGATTTTTAGATCAAGATCAGTTTTCAACAAGTCAAACTTCAGTTGGATCATATTACTAGGAACAGTAAACTATTCTAAATTACATAAAGCGTTTATGTTCATTACCAGATAGACACAGCCTTTATTATAAGCCTTGAGATGTAAGTATAAATTTCAAGGGATGTACAACAATAATGAGCTGTAATACCTTTACTCATCTAAATGACTTATTTAATCTACAGCGTTCATTTACTATAGAATACGAGTTAAATAATGGAAAGAAAAAGCCCCTAACATGGCACTTTTTAAACATATAATTAGTCATACCCATACATGTCCCCAAACCCCATCTTTTTCTTTTTTCCTAAGTAAACATGCACTGAGCTGTTTCACAGCACATAATGGGAAACTTGGTCTTTGCAGTCAACAACTTTGCAAGGCCCACACAGTAACGTACCTGGTATCATGCTCTGATCACTATAACTGCCTTTTTTTTTTTTTTTTGAAAAGGCAAACAAAATCCTAGAAGACCACAAACTACCAAAAGAAGGCAGTAAAGAGGTCAATCATCTATTATTTGTAATCTTTTATCATATATAGCCCATGTCCTAAACAAGATCAGCACTGTAAAAATAATGTAAGGAAAGTCCTAGCATAGAGGCAAAAGCTTATCCTAAATAACTTTAACAAAGAAACGCTATTAATCCAACATGTATAAAAAGGCATACTTTGCCATTAATATCTCCTCATCAGAAAAAACAGTGGATTCTTGTTGGCTATCTTCATACTTTTCAGTCAATTGTTTAATTTCTTCTTCCAGTGACTGGATTTCGTCTTCATAAACTTGATAAATGTTGTTGTCCATTTCTCTGAATCAATGTTACTAGATAAAACACAATAAATATATTTCTTAGGAAATAAGAAATCCGTTTTCAAAATAAGTTATGAAGATTTGATACATAAAATTTTTAAATATGCCAGATATATTGTTTGACAAGTACAATAACTTATACCTCCGTAAAGAATTCTATAGTGTCAAATACTCCTGTTTGCTGTGGAAGATTAAACAAACATATAAACCTTGATCCTCAGCAACCAAATTTGACAGGAATTCTGTCATCAACTTGAAAACAGAATGAGGCTTGCAGTAAAACTCTGCTCTTAATATTACAGTACTCTCATCAATGTAACTCCTACTTAAACCCTAGAAAGTCCACTTATGGAAGATACCTGTCTGCAACTACACATTACAAGTGCAGAAAAGCATCACAAACGGGAATACAGGAAGCTGCTGGATATCAGCAAGCATGTAACAAAGAACAAATTTTTTTTAAAAAAATGAGATTTGCTGCATTAGTTCCTCAAATACTTTATTGGTTAAGTCAAAATGTAATTATTAAACTAATTTTAAGACACTGATCACTGCATAGCCTCCAAATACAGAAGGTGAATCAGGAATCTAATGTAGTCAAAGGCTTTAAGAATCTTTTTAACTAATCATGATTTCACCAAGAAGCATATCCACTTGTTTTACATTTGCTGCAACAGCACAACAAGCTGTTTTACAGATAGAAAGACATCCTAATCAGATAGAGAAACTGAACCCAGCTTTGAGTAATTCACCTAATGATCCACCTTATTAAATGAAGCACAGGTGTTCCTACTAATACCATAGCATAACCTGCCTTTCAAGTGAACAACAGTAAAGGGACACAAAGAAACAACCATGTTCCACAAATAATTCACAATAAATAAACAATTTTAAGAAAAAAAAAAAAAAATCTGACATTCAGCCTAGACACAACTCAAAGCACTGTAGAGAACATTATGCAGCTCAATACTGATGTATTAATACTTTCAACCAGGAAAAACAAACAAACAAAAAAAAAAATCTAGTTTTAATATGTGTTTCTAAACAACCCCTACTGTATTTGCATGATCAACACTAACACAGTTCAATAAAAAGGGATGAGGGGAAAATAGGATTTTGTTGTTTTATTTCATAAGAAACAGCATTTAAATAACACATATAAGAAGACAACATTCAAAACATATTTTAACATTAAAAACTTAATTAGTGAATAAAGAGAGCATATGCAATTAAAGAATTACTGAGATTGTGCCCAGGTATGACTTCCTCTGAAATTTTAATGCAATCTTACACAACGTATGACAACAAACAAGATCAGTGGGGGCAAGAAACAAAAGTTCTGCAATTTTGAATTCATCCTTATCAGGGGGTTTTTTGATTGGATACATTGAAGCAAGTTTTGGTCATCATAAAGAGCACGTTGGGAAAAAGAAAATCATTACAATAGACAGAACCTCAAGTTGTTAGCTAATACCTATTTTAACAGCTGGCTGGTTTGAAAACAGTAACGAAACACATATACAACCATTTTAACTCAACTGATTTTACTAGACTGCCGAAGACTGAAAGACTAGTTATAACTTCAAAGAGCATTACCTCCAGGAAGAAAAAAAAAAAAAAAAAAAAAAAAAAAAAAAAAAGCATCCCATACGTACTTTTAATTAAATAAAACATAAATTTAACGACAATCAGTCGCCCTCACTTTAAGCGTACACACACGCGTATATTTGTGCGCTAACGATATATATTTCACTTTTCTACGTACCTGCGGGTGCCAAAGCCTCCCCCGGCAGAACGAAGCGCGCCCAAAGCGAGCGGCCCGGAGCGCGGGGGACCCTCACGGCCCCTACAGCCGCGAGACGGCGCTGAGGAAAGAGCCGCCGCGCGCGCGCGCCCCGCGCCTTCAAACCGCGCGCCTAAGCGGCCCGCAGCCGGCCCGGCCGCCACCACAGCCGCTGCCCGAGCAGGGGGCGCCGGCCGCGCCTTCGTTCACCCCCTCGCGAAATAACGGAGCCACTTCAAGTGAGATTCACCGAGATCCTTATGCGTCCTCAGTAGCCGAAGAGTTATTTTGTTCGGTACCGCCTGCCTTCCTTTATTTATTTTTGCTCATGTCTTGCAGAAAACCCCCCTACTTTTCTGCCTGGTTAGTTGCGCCCAAGCTGTACGCGGCCACAAGCCCCACCCCGCGTGTGCCCGTCACTGGCGGCCGGCCGGAAACACAAACGCGACACAAACGAGGAGACAGGCAGAGCCCCGGGGCCGCAGGAACCCTTTTTCCGAGTGAGAGCTGGGAAGGCATGCGAGGGGGAAGATAAACGTGTTGCGCTCCAGGCAGCGCACATGGCCGCCGTGGGGCCGAGTTGCCGCGTCTGGGCAGGTGGAGGTGGTTCTCGGAGGTGCTGTGCGTGCCTCAGCCTCTCTTCTTTTCCTCCGACACCCCCCCCCCACCCCCCCCCCCCCCCGCTTAGAAACTCCTTAGAAATGTTATGTCTGGGTGTTACGCAGCCGGTCCTGTGCTTCAAGATTTAATAAACAAGCAAAAAAAAAACAACCGCCAACGCCTAAACCGCGGTTGCTTCCAGCAGTGCTGTAACCCTGATTGCTGGGCTGGGCCGCGCGGGTTTACTGGTGCAAAGGACCGCTGTCCTTGTGAGACTTTATGGAGCCCTTCTGATGGAGTGGTTTGTTCCGTCATTAATTGTTATGATTGCATTAATCCATACAATGTAAGTGTTAGTAAACTATTATGGTCCTCTTACAGAAAAGCAGATGGTGCGTTGCAGGAGTGACAGCTTGACTTCTCAACATGGAGGAGAAAAAAGTTTCCAGACGCTTATATGTTGGAGGGCTTGGCCATACGGTTTCTAAGGATGAGCTTCAAGAAAGATTTGGCAAGTTCGGGCACGTTTTGGATGCAGAGATTATTACCAGAAAAGATGATCAGGGTAACGGTTTTGCATCATCCTTTAAAAGTGCATTGTTTTTCAATGTGTAGTGTGAAATGGAATTTTTTGCTTCAGAAACGCTTTGTTTTCAGAAAATAGCTGAATTTTCAGTTTTAAAGGGAACACTGAAATTATGTAGACATTAACTGAACGCTTATCATTGACCAGGGAACCCTATGAAAACTTTTGCTTACATCAGTGTCAGCATTTCTGATGCAGATCTTCAGAAGTGTAAGTGCATTTTTTTGAGTAATTCATGTTTTTGGTTGAGGTTATGTTATTGATAATGCAACTAATGTTGTCAAATTAGGATGTGGTCAAGGAGGGCCCTCTTTCATTCTGTTGTCATATTTATTCCATTTTCTTTAAGCTGCAATTTTATGGAAGTTGCTTTACTGGAATTTTCAGTAAATAGATGTAAGCTGATTAAAAAGATTCCTTGTGTATGAGATAGAACAAACTCATAAAACACCTAACCTTTTTATGAAGAGGTATGGGAAACATGCTTCAAACACTTTCATCAGTTCCATTAAAACATAAGAAGTGATTTGACGTGGGAGGAAACCCAGGAGAGTTTATGTAAAGCATGTTTCTATTTAAATCCCAAAATAGTTAGATTGCAAAACTTTGGGCAGGGTTATAAAACTACCGGTGTAATATGTAGAAGCAAAATGGTAGGTGAAGATGCCTGTATCCAAAGAGAGGGTTTAGTAAATATGCCTGTTTAGGGAAGGCTGCCATTAGGAATAGAAAGCTGAACTACAGAAGTAGAGAAGAGCCTGCCTAACACTAGTATAAAAACTTCAGAGTATGTGTATTTGAATTTTGAGGTTTGTATTTGAACTGAACCATACAGACTTGAATGACTCCTTTGAAGTCAGAACTTGAATTTTAGATGTAGACTTCTTGTTTAAGATTTGGGTATTAGACATTTCATATACAAACTTAGGTGATTTAGTCTTAATGGACTATAAGATCATGCTAAAGAATCTTCAAGCTATCATAGAAGGGAGGCATAGCTAATTCAGATGTGTATGTTTTTAATGTAGAAAACACTCATTTCCCATCTTACCGTTTTCCAGGCGTGTCAATTTTAAATAAAACGAAATGGAAAGGGGGGACACTGCAAATTGAGTTGGCCAAAGAAAGCTTTTTGCACAGGTAAAAAATAATTGAAAAAATGTACGTCGTTGCTAAAGTTAACATTTTTCTGTTTATCTGATAACATTATGGTTGTGCTTTCCTCTGCTACGCTCTTATTCTTTCCAGTTTTTACTGACATTGGTGGACTGTTGATGCATGTTAGGTACTGCAACATGTTTTGCATCATTATTGACTTAAAGGTAGCAGATATGTTAATTCCTTAAGTAGTGGATGATTACTGTTCTGTGGGAAAGGCTCGCTGTTGGATGTAATTTAGCATCCAAGCAGACCTTTTTTCATATATATCATGTACTTTTTGGTACAGGCTTGCTGTGGAGAGGGAGGAATTAAAGCTGCAGAAAGAAAAGCTCCGGAGAAATGACAAGACATGTCTGTTAGAATCACTGAAAAAGGCTGGAGTTGTAGACTTTCACATGAAAGCAGTACCAGGTACAGAAGTGCCAGATCATAAGGTATGCTGGGATAGATGTATAGAGAATTAAAACAAACAAAAAAATGAAATAAAATTAAAAACCCCCCACAAACCAAAACAACAGATTTGGACACAAGTTTATTATACCAAAATTTATGTCAAATTTCTATACTTGATGTAAAGAAACTTTTATTAAGTCTGGCAGTCCAACTTCTGAAAAGTAGTCTAAAGAAATACCTTACATGTGGACATGTAGAATCCTCCTGTTCTTTGCAGTGACTAGAAATAATCTTGATCGTTAAATTAGTAAATGCTTTGTTACTCATTTACGTTGGGAATATCTTTGTGTCACCCTTAAAAGCATGTAAAGAAAATGTGTGTCTTATTTTTATGCAGCATACACATTTTTGATGGCTGGGTTGTCAGGAACTAATCTCTGTGCTTCAGCACACTCAGGATCAGGGTCTACACATGCTCACAGTAAGATTTAGAATAAAATCACTGAATGTGCAAATTTAGGCAACAAAAAGTATATTTACTATGAAGTTTTCAAAATTATTTGCTAATCACAGAATGCTTCTGGAGGGTGATGGGAGGATTTTTAATTTTTTAGTGGGAAAGGGGAAGAGGGCAAAATAAGAAGTGATCTTGTCTGTATGGTTACCACTGTTAATTCATAAACTAGCAGCATTATATTAAAAGTATTACTTGTAAAGAAAATCCGCTCTTCATTGTCACTCATCATTTGCAGGTCATAGAAATTTGGTTTTTTGGATGCTTTTGATTTGTTCTTTTTTTGGGAAGGAAGCTGGCTGAGTTGCACACTACAAATATATTTCACTAAGAGAGTAAGCAAAAAAAGAAACTCGTCAGATGGTTTTTTATTAGTGTTTCTGTTATCCAAGAATATACATTTTGTTTTATTCCAGGTTTACTTCCATTCCTTTTTTGTTTAACACTGATTATTTTTCTTTTCTTTCAGAAATGGGTTGTTGGTAAATTTGGCAGAGTCTTGCCTATCCTGCACCTTAGGAATCAACAAAAAAATAAAATATCCTTTCCCTAGTGGTTGAGCATAGGTACAATTCCCTTCTTTCTTTTGTCATACAGGGGAACGTTTGCTTAACGGTCTTAATGTTGACTACCATGTCATACTTGATTTACTGAATCCCCTAAGTAAATCTTGCAGTAAGTTTGCATGATTTGAATAAATTCCTTAAACTGCAAATCAGTTGCTTCAAAGCTTATGGTCATAACATTAGAAAAGACTCTTTGTTGTCCTTGCACACAGAATTTAGCCTGTTCACAAAGACTGCAAATCTGGTTGAAGAAAAATTCATCTTGTTTTAATTCCTTAACTGAGACTAACATTGTGAAATATGACCCATCAAAATATTGCCATAACCTTAGAAAGCTGGAGCCAGATTGGACGCATGTAGCTCCCATATCTGAGCTTACTTGGCACTTAGAAGGGAGAGATAACAGCATCAACAAGAAGCGGCAAGGAGAGTTCCCTGTAACTAAGAACCCACCTAAAAAGCTGAGGCAACTGGGCAGTGAGACTCTGAATGGAGCAGTGGTTCTTTCTTCTGGGTGTCAGTCACATTCACAAAACACAAGCTTACCACATCTAGATCAAAGATCAAAATCCAAACTCAGTGAGAAGTCTAAATTGCCTCCATCAAGGATTCTTAATAGTAAAATATCAGGGAGAGGTTACTCATCAGATAAAAGCAATGTTTCTGGAATTACAGCTCAAAATAATATGAGTGTTTCTGATAGTGACATTGATTCTGAAGAGGAAATCAGAGCAATGGTGAAGAAAGAGATAGAAATACAGAAAGATGAAAATATTGAGACTGAAAGTGACCAGTTGGAAATTGTTGGGGATAATTTTGAATTAAAATATAATAGTCACTGGTCTGTAAGCAATCCAGATGCCATGAGGAAAGCTGTCAAAGGAAATTACAGAGAGAAAGAGACTATGGAATGCGATAATGATTATGATTCAGCAGATACAGATGAAATTATTGCTGAAAGTAAAATTCTAGATCAAAGTAGCAGGGAGACTGTGATTTTAGAAGATGCTAAACAGATGAAGGTGGAAAATAAAGAAATAGTAACTAACAAAAAATGTGATTTGGTACATGACTCCTCACTGAAGACTTGCAATTTAAAAAAAGAATACATTGAAAGAAAAGGGAAAAGGAAAAACTCCAAAGTTGCTCTCTTGCAGAGTACAGCAGTTAACAGTACGACAAAGACAGGTGATAGTGAAAGCTCTTATTCAGAGTCTGAGACAGGGGAGTCTGAAATCAGTTCTGATTATGAATCAACGATGCAAAACTGTTGCCGCTTAGACCTTACATTAGATGACTTAAAAGCACTAGCTACTGAAAACACTGG